ACCATCAATAAAATTTATCAGTCACCTATGCATTTTCTTTTGTCTAAATTAAATATGAAAGCTGCTCATTTTTCCTTCTTATTATGTTGTGCTACTTTCCTTGCTCAATTCTACTTAGTCACACGCTTGTGCACCATGATAATGATTCGCATCTATAACTTCAACGCTATGAACGAGATTGTCCCCATTCTTCTTCTTCCCTGTCTGCCAACTAGAGCGGGTTTAGTTTGCATAGAAGCTTTCTTGATATAGGCTCCAGAAGTTTATATCATTTATTTAAACACATAAACATTGGTACAAGGAGGCACCAAATAGATATGCGCCACATAAGTAATTCGATTTGTGTGAGGGCTGGAATACTGCCTGGGTGCCCGAACCGAAACAGGTGGTTTTCTAGGGAGGTCACTCATCGAGCCTTTGACCTAAAGGTTTAATCCACAAAGCAGTGGAGCACCGTAAGGAGATGCAGTCTGATGGTAGCCGGTGACCAACAATAGGTTAATACGCCACTTTTTTCCTTAGGATCCTGGAGCCCATGTGCACCATTGTTCTGAAATCGGGGTTTTTCAACTTTCTTAGGTAGACCCTCCGTGTCCATCAACCCGGTTAAAGCGCCAGACACTCTTTTCATCCTCTCAATTTCGTACACAACACCCCCACCGCGAGAATGTAGTGCGTAGGCATTCCCTTGCAGTGGTTGTATGCACAGTCATACCAGGGAATTCGGGGGCCAATTATATGTGTCAAATTATATCCAATTTTATTTAAATTATGTATCAATTATTAGATGTATAATAGTTACCAAGTTTTACTAAATTGAGCAATTGTTACTATTATTTTATTATTTATTTATTTGAACACATACATATTGGTACAAGAGTGCGCCAAATATATATGCGCCACACAAAACAATGAGAATTTAAAGAAAAGGAAAGAAAGGCAAAGAGGGTAAAAAAAGAACGATAAGGAAGAGATTGGTGTAAGGTAGTGTAATAATAATCGTGGTAATAATGGGGGAACGGAAAGGTACAATCAGAAGAAACCCTTCAGTTAAGGAAGATACAACCAGTTTTTTTATGAAGAAAGTAAAAGAAGGTTACAGCAGGATCGCCACTGGTTTCTATTCTGAGCCATATCTGATAACGTCTCTAGCCACTGTGTTGCGCTATCTCTCGGACCACAGCCTGGGAGTCGTGAAGGACCAACAGAATCCAGCCCTTTACAGCTTTCTTTCATACCATGACACCATGTCATACATTGACCACCTCTCCGCTTTTTCCAACCAGTCCCAGAGTCGGCAAATAATGCACGACGTGGAATTCTCTGGGACGACATTCGGAGAACATGTCCAAGCCACCGAAGTCGGTGTTTCAACATGGTGACACCGATTGCATTATCGTCTCTGTGCCCGAACACACGATGCCGAACCTCTGCATTACTAACATGGTGTTGCCACTGGGTGTCAGCAATCCTTCGGAAACAACGATGATCGAACACAGAGAGTCGTCTAACGTCCTCAACTCGAAGAGGCCAGGCTTCACAATCATAGAGCAAAACTGCTCTCACCGACGCGTTGTAGATCCGACCTTTTACAGCCAGACTAACATCATGAAGGCACCAAAGATGGCCCAGATTGGCATGAGCCGCTCTGGCTTTCACTACACGTGCATTGATCTCATCACTCACACCCCCACCAACACTTATGCAGCTACCTAGATACACTAACTTCTCGACTACTTCTAACTGCTCACCATCCATGGTGAGTACAGGATTAGAATCCTGCCAGTCTTGTAAAAGTACTTTGCACTTCGAAGGTGCAAAGCACATACCATACCTACGGACACAGATTGCCAACTGATTAAGTACGGATTGCATGGCTTGGCCTTATCGCACAGTAAGACAATATCATCCGCATACTCAAGGTCGAGAAGTCTTTCTCCAGGCAACAGATCCACACCACCATTACTTACATCCATCAGAGCTGTTTCCAGAATATCGACGATGGCAAGGTTGGAGAGGAATGGTGAGATTGGGCAACCCTGCCTAACCCCACTGCTCGAATGGAACAATGGAGAAAGGTGGTTGTATGCCCTCACTCTGCCTGAGGTGTTTGTGTATAGGGCTTTTAGGATGTTAATAAACTTCTCAGGCACACCCTTCCTCAATAGACAATCTCAGAGAACAGTCCTATCCAACGAATCGAAGGCAGCCCTGATGTCAAGAAATACTAAGATTGTTGGCCTTTGATAAGTATGGCGGTGTTCTAACATTTGGCGGAGGGTGAAGATATGATCAATACATCCTCGACCAGAACGAAAACCAGCCCGCTCCTCGCAAGTCAATGTTTCTCGAGTTTTGAACAACCCACGAAGTATGACGGAAGCCAATAGTTTGGACGCAATCGTTAGTAGACATATCTCCCGATAGTTGTTATAGAGACGATGTGAACCCTTTTTGAGGATAGGGACAATTATCAACTCATTCCACAATGATGGGACACTGTCTAACTGCCAAACCTTTGTAAATAACTCAGTCAGTTCCTTAACCAGAAAGTCACCACCATCTTTGAAAAGCGTAGGAAGTAAGTCATATGGGCCCGGTGGTTTGTAGCGCTTTAAGAGTTGGAGTTCCTTGCGTACTTCCGCCTCATTTGGTGGATCAGTCGTCACCGGCCATGGAGGGCAGGACAGTCTGACTGGTGCTGCCGGAGCAGCAGGCCAGTTGAACTGCCCTTCGAAAAATTCTGCCCATCGTCCAAGACGTCGATGGATGTTAGTGATTGGCGTCCCATCATCCTCGCAGATTGTTTCGCTCACACCAGACTTCTTCTTGCCAGTGGCTCGGATGAGTTGGAAGAGCTTCCGTTAATTACCAGATGCAGCTGCTGCTTCCAGCTCATTAGTACGCTCCGACCACAAGGCTTCTCGGTCCTTAAGCAAGCTTTGCCCAATTTCCTTACGTAACATCCTTCGTTTGTGGTCAAACTCACGGTGACCCGGGGTAGACCGACGGGCTTCAATGAGTTGTAAGGAATCTGCAGAGACCCAGTGCTTATAAGCGGGACGTTTCGCGAACCCACAACTGACTGTACCCGCCATTTTCATGGCGTCATGCAATTGCAACCAATGCTCATCCACACTTTTCGGTAGAATGGTAGCTAGCCTAGAAGCTAGCTCGGTTCGATACTTACTTGCAACAGAAGTTGCAACCAGCTTGCTAACATCAATCCTTTTGTGGCGGTCACTTCGTTGGCCACTGAAAAGTAAGGCAAGATTGGCGCAGACCAAGGCATGGTCAGAGTCCAGATAGGTACTCCAAAAGGAGCGGCAGTCTTGTACACAACCACGCCAGCGGTAACTGATCGCGATGTGATCAATCTGAGTCCAGGCTTGAGATGCAGAGGGAGGACGCCAGGTGGCACATCGGCGATCACTGTGCCGAAAGTTGGTGCTAGCCAGAAACAGACTGTGGTCTGTGCAAAGTTGCAGTAGACGGTCCCCGTTATCTGTCCTGCGACCAACGAGTCCCCATCGGCCACCTAAACGACTCTCTTCTGTGCCTAGACGCCCGACCTGAGCATTCAAGTCTCTGGCTAGTACTACAATATCTGTCGAACGCACTTTCTGGAGAAGAACAGGTAACTGGTGGTAAAACTCATCCTTGATTGCATCCGGGCTGCAATCTGTTGGGGCATAGGCGGAGATGACGAAAAGACATCGTTTCTCACGCCGATTTCTTCTCACTTTGATGGAACTCTCTAATCTAACAGCACATAACCGACTGTTTATGGGGATCCAATCGACTAGTGCTGCCTCAGCTCTAGCACTCAGTGCGACACCAATGCTAGCAAGACCAGACGAAGATGCCACAGGGTCCCCGGATAAGCGCACGTAAAACAAGCTTTTCGAAGCGACAGATGGAGAGCGAATTTGTAGTACTTCACCGGAGTCTTGAATACGGGTCTCGGATAGACAACAAACATCAATATGAAGACTTCCCAAAGACATAGATAGCCCTATCTGTTGTCCGACCTGCATAAATGTGCGAACGTTGAAGGCAGCCAGTTTGAATGACGCGCGCGGTTTCAGAAAAACTGCTTCAGTCCTCATATTCGGTAGTAACATACAATTTTCAACCGGACAGTGACTCGAGAACGTTTAGATACAGTCGAATTTCCACCAAAGACGAGCCGCTGTATAAGTTTAAAAGAGGGTGAATAATGTGGAAAATAATAATAATAATAATAATAATAATAATAATAATAATAATAATAATAATAATAATAATAATAATAATAATGACAATAATTGTAATGATAATAATCTGAATCAATTGTTTGTTTTTCAAAGCGAGAAAGGTAATTTCCATAGGCATAAAGAGTTCATCAATTTGTGTGTGGGCTGAGATACTGCCCGAGTGCCCAAACCGAAGCAGGTGGTTTTCTTAGGGAGCCACACTCCGAGCCTTTGACTTAAGGGCCTGACCCACAAGGCAGTAGAGCATCGTGAGGAGATGCAGTCCTATGGTAGCCGGTGACCAAGAAATCGGTTCATACGCCATTTGTTCCCGCAGGATACCATACGCACAATCACAGAGAATCAATAAATACAAAAAGAAATGGATCGAAAATCAAATGACTAACTCGATACTGGATACCAAATACGGGTGAATACACACTGAAAGTGAGCGAAAAATGTTCGCTACGAAAATATTAATACAACGAAAGTACATTGACAATTAACTGAACCAAAATCACCTTAAATCCATGTTCGGATTATAAGATTGATTGTCTTTCATACATTGTATTTGGGAATATTACGTCTCAAAATTAGGTATTGGATTTTATTATCTACCTCTTTTATTGTGTTACGCTCTTTTGTTTAATTAAAACTGCTTAATCAAAAGGTTATATTTCTCTTTTTACAAAGCTTTATTTAAAACCGATTGCCTTAATAGCCATATAATTGTATATATATATATATATATTCGTACTTATTTAGCTGTCTGCTCAATGTCCTGCATATCATCCTTTCAATCTGCGCGTTCGTTTTAAAAATTTACCTAAAGCATTTCTAACAATGTACTTAGTAAGTCAAGTCTTACAAAGCTCTCAGAATGTAGTCAGTTCACCAGCTAATTTCATTCCAAACTTGGATATGAATTTTGCTGTCAATGCAAGTTCCGACTGCGCGAATTTTACCTCATACAATTGTATTCAAGATTCATATGAAAGTCATGTTAGTACAAAAAATCCTTCCGCCACTGAATTACAACCTACATCATTGCTTATGCGTTTAACCGAAGATGTTATACTGGATGGTAATGCTAAAGATAATTATGAAGTTGTTTTTACTGTAAGTTAAATATGTAAATGTGTTATTTGTAAAATTTTCTATAATTTTCTCCCATTACTGTGATTTAACTTTTGTTAATTTTGAACTTTTCAAAGTTTCTAATAAATTAACTTGTCAAAGTCTATATTAAAAAACGGATATAATGCTAAGCAGTTTTCTCTATAATTATCGCAATTAATGGTTACACACTTTGATCAGCATTGTTTATAATCGATCATAGTGAAGCAATTGCATAGATTCGTTGGCTACTTATAAAGCTTGAGTTTCAAAGTTATTATATTCTCTTTATTCCGTGGATTGATTTTTCTCGTATTATATTTTTAATATCTAATCTTTTTATCGTATCTTGTTAAATTACTGTTAGTCTATTATAAGGTATGACAAATTAAAGTAATACAGTCGGTCAGTCAGTCAGCTACAACGTAGGACCAGGCATATATATATATATATATATATATATATATATATATATATATATATATATATATATATCGGTCCAAGCTGCCACACATCATTAGTATAACAAGATGAACTCCAAATTCATAGGGGTAGCTACTTCAATGGTAGTAATAAATAAAAGAAAGATTGTGTATAAGGATATGACACAGGGAGAAAGAATTAGTTCGTAGGAAGAATGATATAAAGCGATTTTAATCTCACAGTTTAAGGGAAGACAAAAAGCGTATACACCGACACCATTGTGATCTATTCTGAGCCATATCACCCGTAGTCTCCAACAATTGGTTATGATCGTCACGCGGACCACAACCAAGTAATCTGCATCTACCAACATGGCTAAGACTAGAAGTTAGTGACCTCAAGCACTGATATCACGTTTTGAATGACCGTCCCTAACTTTCTCTCAAACATCCCCACCACTAGTTAGCATTGCGTATCTGTCGGGTTATAAGCTGTAAATTCACATCTTATGTCCTACTTTCAGTTTATATAAATGAACTAGGGTAGTTTGGGAACAGTTTGTAGGGGGTTTACAACTGTCAACTGTTGTGATAAATCCTAATGTGTGAATTGCAATTTGAGGTGTTTCATCTACAAGATTTCACCATACAGGTTAGTATCGTAAGTTCCCTACACGGCGCATATTTAGTGTCGGAGTTGAACTATATTTTAAGTTCCGGTGTTGTTTGAGTCGATATTAATGTCTGTCATACATAGATATATTTCAAGCCACTTTTATTCTCGAAGCAAAAATCTTTAATTCTGCATTTAACTAAAATGCAGTAGACTGTCCGATGAACAACGAAGTGATAACGTTTATTCGGCTAATCAAAGCTTGTCAAGTGAATAAGTTTAGATGTGGCTCGATGACTTGTATTCTCAGTTATTTATTGTTTCGTGGGATATTATAGTTCTTTTTTATCTGCTTCGGCTCATTAATCCTCAGAAAACAACTATTGTGAATTAAAACCTTGTACATTGGCGTTCGATTATTTATTTAGTTGTTCTATATTTTTCTATGCAGCTTTTATGTAATCACACTTTTTATAATTTTCATTTCACAGAATCTCGACCCATTCAAATACAAAGAAAAACGTATACTACTACTCGTCACATTGACTCGTATTGGACCGATGCATTTAAAGCGTACGAAATCAGGTGGAAAGTCCATAGCATTAGGTGTTAATGAAAATAAGTCACAGCAATCGAATTCAATGTTAAAACGTCCAGTCGGCGTTGCTTGCCTGGATATAACATCTTCAATTTTACCGTATTTTAGTCGTTCCTCCCAGTTATTTGATTGGGGATCTGGCAAAACAATAAAAGATGATAATTCTATATTGGATCATAAACGTATTGTGAATTTCAAATTGTACGTAAATGTAACAAAAAATGTCACTTTTTTTGTCTGCTTGTTTATATTCATGTTGGTTTTTTGGACGAATCATTCTTCGGTATGTGTTATGCATCCCTAACTACCGTCTACATCGACGGGCAATGTTTGCTGATGTTGGAAGTTGGAAGAAAGCTAGGAACAGCTAAGCGAAAACATGGCATCACTCTATGAAGTCATTGACTGTTGGTTTAAGCCATGTTGGTAGGTGCAAATTATCCGGTCGGAATTCTTGCAACAATTGTGATCAATGGTTAAAGAGGCTATGTGATATGATTCACAATCTGTCACAATGGCTCTTGTCCATTCACCATTTATTCTGGTTTAGGTCTCGAGCTTCGTTATTGATCCATGCATACGCTTTTATAGTCCTTTCAAACCACACTCTCAACACTTAATCTTTCTCATTTTCATTGCTATTGGATTATTTTTATTTCCTTGCTATTAGTCTTGTCACGTTAATATTTTGTTTTATGACAAAGTGGGCCAACATATATTTGTGTCTGGTTCTATGTTGGCTATGACTGGCTTAGATAGTCATGCACATTCATATCGTTATCTGTTCAAGCTTGCAAGTTTTTACTACTAAAAAGTATTTCCTTGAGTTTGATTTAAGCAGAAAATCATGTAGACCTACTATCGAAAATTCCAGGAATTCAGCGTGAAAGTTGTTCAGTAATACTTGATTTTCCGATAATTTTCAATACACTACAGTATTTTCATTATTATGTAAGTAGCTGTTAGCTGAATAGAATCTTAACTACTGTATGCTGAGTACAAGTCGAAATCACTATACTCTGGTTAACCCATGTTGTTCAACCAATTAGTGCCAACGAATGACTCGATAATATACCACAAGTATCCCCTTTAGATTTTCTATAAATAATTGTGTTTTTATTACTTCTGTTGTTTTGTCTATTTGGAATATATGCTATCCTCTTCTTCTATCCTTGTTCTAATTTGGGACTAGTCGAATGGAGTACAATGTCAAAGTAATATACCAGACAATGGGAACGTGACAGTAACTATTTAACTAACCATCTAACTTAGGCAGCGAAATATTTATTGTAATTTCCAAACCATTGTTACCTAATTTTTCGTCCTGAACTGTGATTTTGTAAGACGTTTCCGATTAATAAGATCGTCACTTTGTTTCTCGAGGATTTCATATGTTCATATTTCCCCACATTTATCAATCAGTTAGAAAATCACTAAATATATGCACTTGGCATAGACGGTATATACGCCACTACTGAATTGCACCATTTTAAAAAAAATATTTTTTGATCTTCACATAGCACAACCTTAGCCATATTGATAATTTAATGAACACCAATGACGCATGACAGTTAATGAATACCTAAATAATCATCTTATCTCATTTGAAACTAATTTTAAATAAACTATTTTAGAACTGGTGAACAGTTTTTATCAGAAGCGTTATTACGTGCAATCAACGATACACAAGTTTTATCTTGGAGTAACAATCAAAATTCAGGTTATCCTGATATGGATTTAACAACAATTTTAAGCATTCCAAGTATTTCATTGGATTCGTCAGAAGTTCCAAAATTAGAAATTCATGACATCACAGTATTAAATCCTTTAGAAGGTCATGTAAGTTGATCACTGTTCTTTTTTTTCCTTCTTTACATACTCAGTTCAATAGTGATGAATACTGAACGGTTACTTTTAAAACATGGTGGTTGTAAATGCCGATAAATTTCCATTCTTTATAATAAAATGAGTCTCAAATCATTTTATTTCGTACGTCTCGTAAAAACTAATTATAATAAATATACAGTGGTGATGAAAATTTATTTAGGTGATTGGTGTTTCAGTGTAGCTTATGAAGAATATCACAGCTGTGGTACATTCTAATTGTCAGTTGAGTCCATTCTGTGTGGTTGAAATTCCACATTATTTTCTAACTCATTAATTAACCGGAAAGTATTGATTAATATTAGATTGGGAGTAAAAAAAAGTAGGCTTGAAAACTTGTTGACTAGTACTCGGCCATTCGATGTAACTCCGATTTACTATCTTCCAAGTTACTTTACCGTTCTTAGTGTCTCAGACATTGCTGAACTACCTTTCAACAAACTGTGCTAAGTAAGGGATCAGTTACGAAGTTTTAAGCGATGTCGTATTTCAAATAGCTAACAGAGATCAGTAGCGCAAACAGACTCACACAGTGTACAATTGAAATCAAGGGAAGAGTGTGTACACAACTCGATCAATATTACATATAAACAAATTGTACAATATTCAAGCATTCAATTAAATGCTTAAGGGTATACAAAACGAGACTACATATAATACAGACAAACTAAAAGCGGTTTACATTGATCAGTAACAATGACACTTATAATATTATCAAGTAGTTGACAGTTCTTTTGTGTGATACTACAGGATTCCCCTATTGGAACACTGGGATAGGATGGTAAAGAGGTGGTGACTGACACTGAAGTGCTCTAAAATGATTCTAACATATTGAAGCGATGTACACCCAGTTGATGAGTCCTAAATAGGACGAAACGCGCGTTTTGGGTTCCACTGCTAACCACTATCGAAAATTTGCTTAAATATGATTGCGACTTAATGGCACTATTGAGCCGATTCCCTTAATATATAAATATATAACATGACAACAAAAAATGAGGAGTATGCAAAAAATGTGTAAAGAGAAACAATGAAATGTTCTCAAAGGTCTATGAGTGTTAGAGTAAGTTAAATAAAAAAAATACATTTATATTAACGCGAACGGACTGTAGATTAACAGTAATATACTGATTATTTCGATAGAACCAAGTATAGATATGCCAACGCAAACATCTCAGGAGATATTAAATAATGACATCGTCCACCGAATATTTTGGTTAGTGAACTCGTCTGTCTGATTTAGTTCCTGCTTGGAGCGTTAGGGCGATGCAAGTTGTGGTGTAGTGTTGTTTGTTCCCTTTATATCTAAACCACCCATAAATGCGGGTTTTTCTACCGACATTCACACGATGGAAATCACTTTTACACCTCTACTTGGACCTGTATGGAGACCATCAGAAGATGGTTGCATTGGTCACGAGATAACATACCTTTTGATGAGAACATGCGTACAATCAGGTATTTGTGGTGGGACATGTATGTTTTAATGTTTTCTTTGCGAAAACGACATATTCAATTCATTTACATACTTTTATAACAAGCTGTACTTAGTTAAATCATTCGGAACGTGTTTACTTGAGGAAAATAATTCTCTGAGTAACCGATAAGTAGCTCCGTAAACTAACTCTGGGGTGTAGCATCCAATGTCTTTCTTTTTTCTTGATCTGATTACCAGAGTGACTGATGAGTTTTTGACAGTTAGAACAGCAGTGAGTGTGACTTGAAGCTGTCTATCCAAACGTTCCACTATTTCGTTAGATATGGTGCGGTAAGTTGCTTTATGAATTTTTCTGATTCCAATCAGCCTATTAAGTTTTCGTAACAGAGAGCTTTCTAGCGCTGCCCCTCCGTCGATGTTGATTACCGATACTAAAATGCACTTCAGCGAGGCAGCTACCGACCAGCATGTGAACTTGTCTATGCAAGTGAAAATGTGACTGAAATCATTAGGTGGTAATAACCACTCGACGATATGGTCAAGCATGGTATTGGAATTGTAAAATGAGCTGAATGGGTCGTTGCTATGTCGATAAATTTTAACTTTTTGACAAGTGGTCCATGCCTGGGAACAATTGTAAATCCCGGTTAACGTTAGGTCAAACAAAAAGCTCAGTAACTGGTATAATGATGGGGTTTATTTATGGGTGGGATATTTTTTTCATATTAACAGAGATGCAGCATCTCATAGCTTGCAACACAGTGGCAAGATAACTTGGGAAGATAGCTACTTGAAATCAGATCGATTTACTGGGAAGCCGGTGTATCTTCTATATGCCATCATGTTATTGGTGAATTATGTTATCACCACTAATGAAGCTTTATTATATGAGGGTTATCTGGGAATCCATCTAGGAAGACTTACGGAACTAATGTACATGTAAGTAGTCGACCTATCTGTTTGTTCTTCTTACATTAAACTTCAACTTGGATTCAAATTATCCGCGATGTTTCAGTTTGTATATGATATTATGAAGGTTTACACTATAGACCAAGTGTAGAAAACCATTATGAGTTATGAAGCTGTAGGTAGCTGTTTTGGTCTAGTATAAGACAAGCTAGAAGTACGTATTCACTAACCCATTAGGGATCAAATTTCGGTCATTCAAATCAAACGATGAACACTATACCTTAGGACTATTAAGTTGGTATGTCTACCACACTTTCTAATTTTTCTCTTGATTTGAATTCAAGACACTAGACCATACATTTAGATAAAATTGACTATTACTGTTCACTGATTTCTAGTAAAATAAAAGATCTATAAGACTTGGTGGACTAAGTTTTAAATCAATTAGAAATATCAAGAATTTACTTAATAGTAAGCTAAAGTGTTTAAAATGAATGAAGCTACATAACCAAATACAAGTTCGTGTACACTCAGCTTTGAATTATTCAGTTATCTATGAAAGTCATAATAACACGTACTATCTTAATGTACAAACTGAATTATGTAGAGAATAGTCTGTCAACCTACAATCAACTATTACTCTATTATTTCACATTAAACTCTTTAAATAGTCAGGTAGGTAACTTATAAAATTTACTTTACTAAGGTATAAGAATACCTTGTTTTTATCATGACAGCTGATTACTAATCAATGACTGTAAAATTAAAAACAACTCAGAAAACAATAAAGGTGTGTAACTAATGGAATTGATATTTATTCCACTTACCTCACTGTTATTATTTTCCTTAGTAATTCAAAGTTTTTACCTATGAATAAGTTTTTTCTTTAATTTTTGACATCAATTGTGTTTTGTTTATATTTTCATGTAAATTGATCAGTTCACTTGTAATGATCATTGGCTAATTCATGTATTTAATGAATTTATATATATATATATATATATATATATATATATATATATATATATATATATATATATATATATATATATATAAATTAACCTACTAAGTACAAGTTTATATATTAGACTTTGAGCTATACAAGTTGTGTGGAGGTTAATGATACGACCCAACTGACTGCATAAACCGTTATTTGTGCAGTTTTAAACTAGGCTTGATAATTTAGTATAACTCGATACTTACATCTTTATTTTATTCTGAGTGAGAAAAATCAATTTGTGAAAACTCAATCGTTTCGAGATCTTTTAGTTTATTATCCTTTTGGATATGGATATATGATTAACTTACATTTACAAATTAGGAATGACTCAAAGTAATACATGTGTATCCGCATGTGATTGATGAAATGTATTCTCCATGTTCTTTATTTAACGAATTAGCATCGCTAAAAATTACTTAGAGATGATAAAAAACGACTTTTGCAAATCATACGAGTTATTGAGTAGCTATGGTAAAAGTCGAATTCCAACCAATATGCTGTAGATTAGAAGTTCATCTATCTCTACTTCAATTTAAGAAGTGCTGTGTAGAGTATTTCTAGCACTCAAACAAACAGTATACTTAACAGAAATGTACATGACCATTTATTTGATGAGTTAAATTGAATTAAAATATTTCTGTCAAATCATTCAGCTAACCTTGTGCCTGTACTTATAGCGACGTCTCATTTTTCTTCATCTCCTAGTCGACTAAAACCAACAGGTAAGGACCATATTTTGCCTGATGTTATGTTTCGATAGATGACCAAATAATATTTTGCTGATTTGCTGTCTGAGTTGAGTGGTTTAATCGTGAGGTTTTTGTTATCCTTCTGGACAGTGTCATCAGCACAAACTTCAGGTAGAAGTGAGATTTTTCAAATTTTTCCACACATGACTGACAGCTTTTTCTGTGGAAGTTGCTTTTTATTGGTTATTGTCGTTGTTGACCGTTGTCCTGTTGTCTGCATATTTATTCTGAATGTTATCCATTTTTTGACTTTAAAGTTGAACATGCAGCTGATTTACACATCTTCAATATTTCAAAACTCGAACATAATTTATGAACATTTTTTGCCTGTTCGATTCATACATTTTGTGTATGTTCTCATCGAATGTAACGATGTGTTTTCTGATCAATTTTTATTCTTTTTTTCCCTTTAAAAAATAAATCCAATGATTTATTAATAAATAATATGTGCTGAAAACAATCGAAATTTATTATATCCAGCCATTCAATCGTGATGCATTATATGTACGTCGTTATGCATCACCTTATTTTAATGATCCTACAGTTATTAATAATAATGGTGTAACTCAACCACGACGTGAACTTTATGTTACTTTAATTTCTGGAAATTTCTCTAAAGGTAATAAAACTAGAGAGCATAATATTGAAGTGGAAGTCAACGTCGTAGATAGTAATGGGAATTGGGTAAGTATGGTATTCATTAATGTTGCTTATTGTTATTATCTATTATTAGTTCATCAACTAGTTACAGATTTGTGTACTCAGTTTCGAATTACAGTTTTTGCGTGTGTGTGTGTGTGTGTGTGGGGACCTGATGATACCTACTACTACTCGGTCAGCGAAACCAAAGTAGTCAGGGCAGAGTTCGAATACTCAGCTTAGGTGTTGGAGTCGAACGCCTTAACTACTGACCCACCGTTGCCTTGTTGTTTCACTTTGTCCGGTGTTTATATGGAAATGTTAGTCTTACACTGATCAATAATATATATAGTGTTATAGAATGTATATTTATATAGAAAGAGAGTGCGATAGGTTCTAGTAGTGTTGTTTTTTTTGGTAGGTGTTTTAATTACATAGTTTTTATTGTTGTTCTAAGCATTATCGACCAGACTAATGGTAAAAGCTTCACGTTGAAACCATCGAGCTTGGAGAATCTGAAAATGTACAAAACATCTATATGCGGTAAAAAAAAACTCATCTCTACCGTGTATAAAAATGGTTCAATTAATATTTGTTGAGTTGGTGATCACTGTAGGTGTTTATTTGTTATCGCACCATCAGTGTCAATTGACTCATTATTGTTTCCAAGAGTTTTTGTTTACGTTTATTTCTACTGACTTTGATTTGATTTTTAACAAATTCTTCTTCACTATCCCATTGGATTAATAAAAATGTAAATGACCGAATTGAAATATCTCCTTGCTAAATTAAAGTCTAAATTAACTCATGGAATAGTACACTATCGATATGACCAATTTTCTATCGTTTAAAAAGTTCTCATTTGAAAATATTATATATCACGACACGTTCTCTTCTTGTCTTGGATTCATTCAACGATATTTGGGAGTTCATTAATTTGCTAAGGTTTGCTAAGGTCATAGATTATATTTTGGTTTCAAGTAGTTCTGTTATGATAATTCACAAATGGGAGGAGACAAGTATTAACTTCAAAATTATCAAGTTGATAAATCCTCAATTACGGCTTTTTCAAGGATAATGAATCCTCAAATACAACATTTAACAAGAAATCAACTTTAAAATTCATATATTGTTTTAAAGTAAATTCTGCTCATTAACTCTTTTTGTATTTTCATTCCCTGATTCTTTGAATCTAAGTCATAACTATTGAATTGATAAATTCTGTAGATAATAATCACTGAAGTTAATCGGTATGTAATTAAATTAAAGTGGATGTCAAGATAATGTTCTTTGGTAGTTTCTAATAAATTTTTTCTAACAAGGTTTGTCTTTTGAAGTAGTTGGGACTAGAAATGAAGAGAGCTGTTGTGTATCGTGTAGAAATTGTGATTAGAGTTTTATCGCTCTGTAACGAACTTACTTCTTGTAGTGGAAGCTTAGTTTTTGGTAATCCTAATTAAAAAATTGTTACAATCTGGTCATATAAGTTAGTTATAGATTATTATTATTATGTATTATGATCACTCGAAAATTCCTACTTAGAAATGATAATAAGGTGGCCAAATCAGGATATGACATCAGCCTATAAATTCATTGACTTTTGAACTGATAGATAAATTTGTACTACTACCTCGTTAGGGTTGGTGTGATCATATTAAGCAGTGATTAGAGATGTTAAATGACTACATGGCTGAGAATCGATCATCATGATGCAGATGCACTCACTCTTTTTCTTTCCTTAGATCTTGAGTTTTCAAAATGATGTTATACTTTTCATTCCGCGTATTCATTCTCCTTGAATCATGTTTATGTTTCTGATACTGTTACTACTGCGACTACTCTAGTATTTGTCTTGATAATTTAATCTCACTCTACTAATGTGGTGTGGCAACTTGGCAACGTTGCACGTAACTGACTGAATGGCTAGTTGAATAAGGTAACTTCTAGAATGCTTTTTAATTAGTGATAGTATGAATTCGATGTATTGTAAATGAATCTATTTCACTTGTGTTTACTTCATTGAAAGTTTGTAAATGAAATGATATTTAAAAAGATTTGAAACTTCGGTGGTCATTCATTGACTAAATGTATGTTTCACTTAATAAAACAAAGCTCTTAATTATTTACAAGAATATAGTATAAACTCAACATGAATAGAGATTCAATAATAGCTGGTCAACTAATTGGTGCTATATTTTATACGTGAAAGTTTATAAATATATGGAACTAATCAGAAATTTTGTTTATTCTTTTCTGTTCTATGCGACGGAATTCTATATGAATTCTAGTATTGTTGAATTCTATCTCAGTAGATATCTGTAAGGAAATTGTAGGTAGTATCCACTTAATATTACTTATTTTTGTTTCACATGTATCGCGAGATTTTTGTGATGCAAAGTGTAATACTTTAGGAGTTATCAAAGGGCTGTGGCACTAGAAAGCATTTAGTTGTCTTAGGGCACTTACCACACTCCTGGTGTTTTGTTGCGGGGTCCAATCCATAAAATGACGACTTAACAATGTTAGAAAAGAAGATTTAGTTCTTCTGGTGATAGCTGGTAATAAATGATCGTCCATACTGATAAATCTGACTGAACACTTGAATCGGTTTCCTAAGCTCTCATAATAACCCCAGGTTAACTTGACACGACTACGTAAACACGTGAGGAAAGGCGCGAAATACAGAAAGAACGCTTTACTCCCATCCTGGTTTTGGTTCATAATTTTCAGTGCCTTCATTTCACACTTTTGAACACATCTCTGCTGCATGAAAACTGTAAAATTATTGTGTACGAGATCATAGAAATGCAATCCCACGAGAGCGTTTAGTAAAGAAGAGTTGAGTCTTATCCTCCACAATACTAGGGCATTTAAAGGGGAAAGATGAAAGTGACTTCTAGACTAACATTAAATGCTTGGTATAACAACAACAGTCGCTTGTTTGAAACCATATAATATGTAGTTTATGTTGAAATGTCTTTTCACAAAATATAAAACACTGCAACAAACCCCTTTATGGATGTGAAACGTGGCCGTTAAGAACAGACGATATTTGTAGGTTACTAGTACTCGATCATAGGTGTCTTCGAAGTATTTCTTGTGTATTTTTGGACTATAGAGTAAGCAATGCTTGGGTTAGAAATAGGATACTGGGCAAGGATGGGAAATCGACTAGTGCGGTCATGAATCTTCATCAACTGAGGTGGTTAAGACACGTGTTATATATGCCCAACCACCGCCTACTTCAACGAGTGATGTTTTCTGGTGTAGAAGTAGGCTGGAAGAAAGTCAAGAGCAGCCAAAGCAAAGCATGACGTCGGTCCATGTAGTCACTGACAATTGAACTTAGCTATGTTAATAGGTGTAGACTACCTGGTTGGTGTCCGTGTGATTATCTTAACCAGTGGTTAGAGACTTTGAATGACAAGGCTCAAAATCTTTTGCAATGGCTCAGGTGCATCCGTTCTTTGTCTTCCCTCAAATTCTAAATTCCTCATAACTTTTTGTGTTTTTATCTAAGTAATTTATATTTTCGTGAATTGTATCTTCGATGCCTAGTCTTTTCTATTACTACTGATATTGTTACTACCTCCACTATGTTGGGATTTGGCCTGACAATCTAATCTCTCTGTGCAAATGGGGTATGGAACCTTCAGCCGACGCACATAAGTACCAGGTTCTATGTTGTGACTGACTGAATAAACCCCTAGTTCTACATATATGTGCAAGCATTTTGCTATCAGTGCTGCTACTATGACACTTTACTTTCACAATATATTTGTCGCATGATTTTTATTGTAAAGCATCACTCACTTCATCAAACAATAGACTAGACGAAATATATACACGTCACTGTTATATTTCTGTTTGAATTTTTTTCAGTAGTAAACATTGTGAAAAGTTGTCAACCGTTGACAAAAGACTTTGAATACAGTATAAAATTTAAATAAATTCATGAATAATTAAAAACACTTGAAAAAACGGACAACTGTATCATAGTATTTTCACTGTTGAAAAAAATAAGTCCCAAAAACTTGTAAACAGGCCACCAAATATACGAGATTCAAAGGATTATTATTATTGTTTTTAGTCGAAGAGATTTAACTGGTTCCTTAGTGAACTACTTCAAGATGTTCCTAAAGTTCTGTCTGAAAGTTGTGATTGGTGGAGCTCAAATATGTTGGGAATAGAACGGCTGTTGTTCACCGTGCGACCTAAATGTCCAGCGTTAAACCCTTGGTGGGTTCGTGGGTGCACACTTCTGAGGAGTCCCATATCAGGACTAAACAACTGACTAAAGCTCCCCAATCTTTTGCTGGTGCTCCATGTGATGAGATCAATCTATGACAAATATAACCTGCACATTATTTTCATCTATCATTGATTGTTTTTTCTAATTTGATTTAGATAAAAATAAACATTTCATATTCACTTTTCTATTGTTAAGTTAAATCTGAATAACTCACCTGAACGTTTATCACCTGTACACAAATCAGTCGTATACTATCACAAAAATCAGCCATATTGGAGTGAATTATTCATAATCAATTTACCATACTCACCAATTGAATCCTCTTGTGTAACAACAACAATTGATGATGTGAATCATAATCTTGATCGTGATAATAATAATAACACTGAACGTTCTAGCCATGAATCACAGGATCAGCAACAGTTATTCAGTGCAAATCCAACTTATCCTGGGATGTTAGCTGGTGTACATTTGAGACTTTTATGTCGTCATCGATCTACTGGACCGGGTGGTAAGTATAGTAAAGTAATGAATAATAATAACAGCAATCATTTATTATTATTATTATTATTATTTTTATGCCTAAACATTGAGTAGTTCACACAACCTGTTGGTAGTTGAATTACTCTCCACAAACCCTCTGCAGTAATATTATACATATGCTTACTAGTGACTAACTTCGAGGTGTAACTACTGAAGTTCTAGTTAAAAACTATGACTATTGGATTTCAACCATGCAAGTTGTGTGGCAGTTACTCATTAATGGGATTTGAACAGTATCTCAAATTGATTGAAGTTAGACGTGTAAACCACTGGATGCTAACGCAGTGGTCTAAATGTTAAGCGCTTTCTTTGAGACCTGGGTTTTGGGTATGTATCACTGACGAGTCTCATATTGAGGCGAAACAGCTCTTTCTGGTTTTCCAATGAACTGTTGAGTTAAAAATCAGCAAAATCGCAATGTTTGTTTGATTTGCTAAATTGCGTTTTTGGATCATTGCTAATAGGGGATTAAGGCACCAAACAGTGTTATGCTTAACCATGAAGATTTGCAGGATGTGCATATATCATATGACAAGGTTGAAATAAACTGTTTGTATGAAACTGACACATGTATCATATTAATATTCCACTATCTCTGCAGCGTAAGGTGATGTTGAATTAACATGTGGAAGATGAGAAGTGTCGAAAAAGCCAACTAAAATATTTGTAACTTCAGTTTGCAGAAATATCGACTTTTAGATGTGTATCGTATGTTAGGAATGTTTATTTACTAGTTTATCTCATTAGTATGATTAAAATCAATGACTAGAGAGAAGTTAGGTGATTCTTGTAGATTGATATTTGTATGATGAATGTGTAATTTATGATTCCCGTTGAGCCAGTCAGTTATTCAGTAATGTGTTAGGCAGTTTAAGGTAGTTGATAGAAAAATCTGGACTCAGATTTCGTGCTAGTTGACTCTTGTCGCCATGGGGTACATGTAATGTTGAAGGAACAATTACTATTACCTGGTGGATTCTAACTTACCAAGTTGAATTACTAATGATAATAGATGACCACAAAAATAGACAATGCTATTTAAAGAAGTGAATCATATCCGTAATAAGCTAACAAAATCAATCCTATTTCACAAGATTATAAAGAAGGCCTACATCTGTCACTATGACCAGTTTTAGTTATTTCCCTTAATAGTTCCGGCTATAAATGATTATTTCACTGGTGGGAAAAGAAGTTTTATTCTGTTCCGGCATAGCTACCTTTCCAACAATTACTTCATCATCTTTCGTGTATTAGTTTATGCGAATCTACTCCTGTTCTGTCAAATATAGTTCATTTAGATAAATAATTGTTGAATTTATGTAACACATATGTTCAGATCGTCAAACTAGATGAAATTTCACAGTCTCATAAACCGAATCATTATCTATACCAAGTAACCTAAGCATAATCCCTCTTTATTACTTACTCATTGATTTCACCATACACGAGTAATATTTCAATGATATTTTTTAAAATTTAAAACTACTAGCAAAATATGGATAGCATACAGTAGTCAAAGACCATGTTTTATCATGACTTTGTTTCACTGTACCACTTCCATCTTTTTTTTAACTCCTTCAAAGTAATGATAATGATGAATTCGTTTAAATTACATTTTGTCAAATTCTTATTTACCGTTCCAATTTCATTTGTTCACACATGAACAAATAATCAGTGAAATTTTATGTTGATCATCATAAATTGAATATTTGTTTATATGCATAGGTTACTAGGTGTTCAGTCATCTTAATTTGTTTACGATTCAATAATAATAATAATAATAATAATAATTGTAATGATGATAACAGTTGTAGTAGTGTTTATCAAATGACGTAAGCTGAATATGTGTACTTTTTTTTCCATCTATAGAATTTACAATCTAGTGTAAGTATGATAATGATTTTCATCGAATTTAATTTCTGTGGTTTGATAAGAAGAGCTTAAATTAGAAATTAATAGTTTAACCTGTTGATAAATGTATCACTAAATTTATCCATCAATATTTGGATTTAATGCTGCTGAATAATATTAGCGACTAATGAATTAAGTCATTGGACAACTAATCGGCATAAATCATTCAATTTCTTCTCCATTATAATTTTCATCTTGGATAAAAATTGTATATTTCTAGTAATTAATAATTCTTCAAAAAAATCACGAATTAGATTTTATTTACTGAGATTCCTGCTGATTATTATGACATAAGTAAATTATTTGGGTCCGAGGTAGAAATTGTTTTATTTGATGCCGATCTAACTTCATCCTTATAATCACACTGTCTACGTGGTCATAACATTTATGCTGACATTGGATCAGTTACAAAATCTTGTTTGAAATATTCCGACTGGCGTCCAGTTTTCTTAATCAGTAATTTTCTCCCAATTGTTTACTAAACGATTGTCATATTGACATGATTGAGTTAAGTCAGCTGTAGGACCGCTCTTAAAAATAATTATACTACAGAGTATTGGTATTGTGCTTCAGCGAATAATTCAAATCATCATATTAATTTATTTTACTTACTCCTTTTACACCTCGTTGAGGAGCGTAGGCCGCCACCAGCATTCTCTATCTAACCCTGTCCTGGGCAGTCTTTCCGGTTGTCTCGAATGGTTATTCATTATTTTGATGTATGCATCCAATTCGCTACACAATGCTTTCTTTGGTTTTCCTCTTTTCCGTTTTCCTTCAGGATTTCAAGTTAGCCCTTGCCTCGTGATGCAGTTTACTAATTTCCGAAATGTATGTCCTGTCCCACTTCCAACGTCTTTTCCTAATTTTCTCTTCAAATGGAATCTGGTTTGTTCTGTCCCATAGCAGGCTTTTTGCTGATGGATATCTTGCCCAAACAATTGTTTACAGATGCTTGTACCTTTTTGATGATTGTTGTGGTAGTTCTCGAAGTTTCGTTTTCGTACAGTAGAAGTGTCTTGATATTCGTATTGAAGACTCTGACTTTGATATTAGACTTTTGTCCTTGCCTTGTCAACACTTGCCTCCTTGTTCATCGATGATGCTGTTGACCAGGTACATGAAAGACTCCACCTCTTCTAGAGTTTATCCATTAAGTGTGATTGGGTTGGTGTTTTCTGTGTTGTATTTGAGGATTTTACTTTTTCCCTTGTGTATGTTGAGACCTTCTGGTTCAGAGGCTTCTGCTACGTTAGTTGTCTTCATCTGCATTTGTTGGTGTGTATAGAATAGAAGGGTCAGGTCGTCTGCAAAGTCAAATCTCCCAATTGATTTTGAGATGTGCATTGTATTCCGTTCTTCCCGTCAATGTTAGAGGTCTTCATAATCCAGTGAAATACCCGAAGAAAGAGAAAATAGTGAGAGTAAGCGTTCTTGTCTGACACCAGTCATCATTGGGATGCGTCTGTCAGCTGTCCTCCGTGCACCACTTTGCAGTGTAGTCTGTCGTATGAATTCCGTATTATGTTGACCTTCGTCATTTAATAACAAAATGGAATTGCGTAGAAAGTGTTTAAATTATTTACAGAATGATTAGCAGAAATAAAATTAATAAACAGTTAGTGCATTAGATATTATGCAAAATAATTAATTTTGTTGATCAGATTGTTAATGTGTAAATCCGTTATATTTTAAATGACTCATTTTAAGGTAACATGTTGATAGTTCTATATTCCATCTCTTGGGATTTAATGTAACCATGTACTACTCTGAAGTTTCCAATATAAATCAAAAACATTTGTTCATTACTCTCTAATTTTAAATGATTCTCTTTTGCCCCAAATGCTCTTGTACGGCCGAGGGTGGGGTGGGAGTGTAGGTTACGAAATTGAGCGAAAAGCCAATGTCTGCCGTTTTAACCGGGTTGTCGAATAGGGAGGATCCACTTAGGGGAGTTGGAAAACTCTCGTCCCAAACCACTTGTGCACATGGGCTCCAGCTTCCTAAGGAAACAAGTGGCGTATTAACCTATTGTTGGTCACCGGCTACCATCAGACTGCATCTCCTTACGGTGCTCCACTGCTTTGTGGATTAAACCTTTAGGTCAAAGGCTCGATGAGTGACCTCCCTAGAAAACCACCTGTTTCGGTTCGGGCACCCAGGCAGTATTCCAGCCCTCACACAAATCGAATTACTTATGTGGCACATATCTATGTGGTACCTCCTAGTACCATTGTTTGTGTTTAAATAAATAAATTAGCCAATATCAATCTATAATGAAAATTCTTCCTTTAAAAAAGCAATGAGCAATTGAATGAAATTGATTGTGTAAAAATGTAAATAAACTTCGAAAGGAATATAGGTCTAGATATCTGAAGAATAGTTTGAAACCAAAGATGAAACTAGATTGCCATTGTCTATTATTGTTACTCTCTGTTGATTAGTCTAATCATAGCATAAGAATAAAACTGCTATTTTGTTACAGCCAAACTTTTAATTGATCTAGATTAAAAGTGTTTGTCTTTTAAATCCAATATCTTTAATATATACTTCTGTTGTCCATGGTGTAAACACACGCACTGTTTTAAAGGTGTGTCTATTATTATAAATTAACATTAACTTGAACGTGCATTTAAAACTCGAGAGTGCTATTGCATAACCGCTTTTTATCTTATTTTATAAACATCTCAGCAATATTCATCTACAACCCTAGATATGAATGAACCTCAAGATTTTCACGTTTCGTGATGTTAATATCATACTTCCTAGCTGTTGAATCGAGATTCATTATTCGACATTTCTGAATTCCAAACTATCTGCATTTCAATAAATCTTTCAACTGATATCAGTTTCCACTGAAAATCACCAAACTTTAATCAGTCACTAGAAAACAAAATGAATAGATTTATTTGTTTCTACATAAAATATAGTAACAGAGCAGTTGGGATAAAATGAAATCATGTTGTAATTTTGGATGGTGTTGTGTCAGGCTATGAAGCTGGATTACTCGGATCCCATTCCCACAGGGAGCATCAGTATCCTCAAGATTGTAGGTATGTCCTGCAGACGATTACGAAACATCACGAAATTTACATGCAGTTTTTCCTGTTGACTACCTCTAAGCACTTAACATTTCAACACTGTTCACTCTATGGCAAGTCACTTAGACTAGTGATCATGTCGTAATTTGATCGATAGAATTTGATTACCACTAAAAGACTAGACAAACATAACATTTCTACATACCCAGTAATCAATCAATCAAATTGAGTTGCTCCCCAAACGGTAGTCAGTATAATCAAATGAATTTCTAACTTGTTTCAATTAATTCTTCAAACTAAATGTACTCTTTCAAAAAGGTTAAATAAAAATATTTTCAACTTCCTGATATCCCAACCAATCTACTCCATTCGTAATTATCGGGGGCTCCCTACTTGTACTGAAAATGCTATGAATCAATTATATGGTATCGCCACATGTATCACTGTTGAAACTATAATACTTATCACAACTAATTATCATTCTTTCGTTCTAATTAGTCCTCATTAATCAGCAGTATATTGAAAATCATGATTCAGCGTTAGTTGCATTCGATAAACAGCTTTTAGCTGGTTATTTTCTGTTTTAATAAATTCTGCAAAGTTTAATAATTACACCTCGTTTGTGTATATTTCATTGTAGATTCTGAAGGTAAAATTCTAGGAGTTGCATATTTACGACTTCAGCCGAATACATCTGTGCCAGTTCTTTTGCCTGATGGAGACTATCACCTGTATATACATAAGGTGTGTATAAACAACCATTTTTCCTATCAGGTTTTTTTCTTCCTTTTGATATAAACTTATTCTCATTAATGGGATAGATGTTGACACCTACATGTAACCCGCTAGAAATGTTATCTTTCATGACAAGTTGTGTTTACTATGATGTGATCGGTTTTGATGAATTAACTATTCTCATCACTTATGGAAGTAGACGTATAAAGAAAATAGAAAACCCTTATGATTATTTATATCTGGTAAATATAGAACTTGATCGGTGTTTAAAACTTTATGCGGGCATAAGCAGCACTTGCTTAATTTCTCTCTTGTTTTCTATGCATTGGTTATTATCTTGCCTTCAATTCGTTTGATATTGATCTTGATTGACTATTTTCACTAATTCTACTAATCATTTGTCATGATTTGTTGTTCATAATAAAATTATTGCACATTAGTAGATAGCATGTCTATTTAGCTAAAACTTTATCATGTAATAGACAAATATGATGATAATAATATGCAAATTGTTGGGTATAGTGCATTTTTGACAAAAGACTTAATTGCGTTTTTGTCACAGTTATGGTTTGAAAATGATTGGTCGTTTGTCATCCGTCATTATGACTGTTTATTTTCAAATCTCATAACGCTTGGAAATCTGTTTATCTTTTTCTCGTTTTGTGAAACAATTAGATGATAGAAGTGGTTCTGAACGACAAACTCCCTAAACTAACATTCTCCCTCTCTCTCTTCCTCTGGATGGAACTTTTGATCATGCTCCACTTCTAGTTGACTCAGTATGTTCGCACGATTTATCCAAATTTACTAAAACACCGACAGACTATGATTTGATGAATAGTTTTGCATAGTTTATATCACTGGCTAATCTTAATCGAACCACAATTAAAAGGCAAGAATCAATTAATAGCTGTTTCATTCTACTATGGGACTCCTTAGTAGTCAAATGTGAATCAATTATCCACCAATGACATCAGATGATTGCACAGTGTTGCGAATTGATTGCACGTAGACTTATAAACCATTAGATGCTTGTTAATTTAGTGGTGTTAAGGCTAAACGTTCATTATGTGCCCTGAAAGTTCTGGATTCTATCCACTGTGAGCTCGTGGATGGGCATTGCTGATGAGTCGCATATTCCACGTTAAGTTTAATTATCGTGAATCATCCAGGTCGAAGTTGCCGTCTTCACTTAATGGTTGCAGTTATATATCGTGATAACTCAATTGAGTTATACTAGTTGGAATGATTGTTTTTTAGTTTCTGTCATGCCAGTCAGACAGGTTGGGGAGCCTTTAGACTATAAGTATCAACTGGAGGTTTGTGGGTGAAGTCGTATTACCGCCTGTACAGACTTGTTATAATAGTAAGATATTCCCCTCAGGAATTTAGTTTCTGGAGTGACTCAAGCTGACTAAAACTTCCACTTGGTAAGTAACTGTCACTTATATATGATGTCCATATAGTCCATTATTCAACATCTGGTTCAGTTCAGTTGAAAATTTCTAAACTTAATATTCACACTATCCAACATGCAATATTTTGAATCTCAGATAATAATTATGGACTATTTGATACTATCATCATAAATGTGTTAACGTTTAATTGCTAGATTGTTTAAAACTGAATTATTGGCATATTACTTTTTCTATGCAGTCAACTATAAACACTGTAAAATGCAATCATATTAAGCGTTTTATGATAGAATTTCATGTAGGTTAGTGGATAAATTAAGTGTACAAGTTGATTGTAATTAAAATAATTACCCAGTGTTTCACTATGTCTGACTACTCATTTTCAGCTAATGTTATTTAATGTTTACAATTTTCGTTAAATGTTTGTTTTATCCAATAGTTTAAGTAATTTTTATGTTCAATTAACGAGTGAATGCTTCATATCAAGATGTAATTTGTATTCAAGATTTGGTTTCAAGCCATTTAAATTATCCACAAATGTTTGATGTGAACATATTCAGTGTATCGCAGTTTGATATGTTGGATAAAGAAGACTTGAAATAAAAATTAAACATTAATATACATCACTCGTTCACTAAGTGGACGGAAAAATGACCAAAAGTATTCTTTCATCATAATACTAATTAACCCTTTCTTGTAACGCCTTTATTTGTACACTTACAGATGGATATGAATCAAGTGAATTCATGTCGTTATTTATGCCAACCATCTTATTGTGAAGATGATGGACCGATTGCTTATGGTTTAAGTAGTGGTTCGGGTTCTGGTTCCAGTTCTATTGGACTTAATACAATAAATTCAAATTCAAGTGGATTGAATAATATTCTATCGTTGCCTAACTTTTCAACATCATCATCGTCACGTAATCGCATGGATACACTACACATACAAACACTTGTTTGTAGTAGTTATCATACTACTGATGGTAAGTGATTAATTTGTTGATTTGATTATCGTAGAAGCGAGAGATTACTGGTTGTAATTAGAATGTACTGTACAGCAAAAGTGACTACTAACAAAAACATATATTTGCAATATCTCAGTTAGTATAAAATTATATTTCCGAGCATTTCGTGACTCTATGTAAGCCGCTTCTTCACAAAATAGATAAACAAACAAATTAAATTGACGAGGGATTTGTGGCGATTGTAGTATTTTCACAGTTGAAATTGCGAAGCGATTTTAGCCAGATCACTATTGAAAACCCAGAATCACTGGACGGCCATTTTGTGAGAAGCCGTGACCAGTGGAGTTCAATCCTTGTAGGGTGTGAGATAGTTATCCACTGCAGGCAATAGATGATAGGTCGATCAAGATTATGGATTGATTGAAGCTAGACATCAAAACCGTTGGGTCCTGGCTTAGTGGTCTATAGGCTAAGCGTCCCCATTCGAGACCGAAGTTTCTGCGTCCGATTCCCGCGCAGAGGGTCATAGATGGGCATTGCTGAGGAGTCCCATACTGGGATGAAACAGCCGTACAGTGCTTCCAGGTTCTCATTGGTTGTCTAACTTAAGTCGGTTCGTGATTTCAACTGTGATATTAAATTAACCCAAGTTTGAATAGTACATAGAAACAAAGCAAAAATATTTAATACAATAAATCAAAAACAGGGCTGATCAAGTCAATATCATGTCGCTGCTGTCGAGGTGATTTATATGAGACATGCTTGTGTATCTATGTGTATCTTAATGGATGTGAAAAGTGCAATGTGGAAATTTAGAGTTGAATTTCTTTATGATAATAGTGTGAGATGTGGATTTAATCCAACATGGTAGCTCCGATGGATGCTTCAAGTTGGATGGATAGTGATTCTTTCTCTCACATTGAGGACAATAAGATTTAAAAATAGATGGTAAGCTTTAGCTACTAGCCTTTCGTTGTAGTTGGGTTAGTTTTTTTATTTCGATATTTTTTAACATCGACTTGATGCTAATTGAGGATCTAATTTGGAGTTCTTCAAGTTCTAAAGGATTGTTAGGTGGTCTTTTTGTCCAACCTAGGTGTTCTTTGGCTCCGATCAGGATTTCACAAGATGACTCTGCAACAAAGAAGGCATCACAACTGACACACCCTTATCTGTAGACACAGTTCTGTTTTGACGTAAAGCGAATTTTATCCTTTATACGAATTAAATCATTTAGAAGGATATTAGTTGTTTTGTTGTATGCTTTAATTCTGTGTTGCGTTAAGATTCTTTGGAGTTCTTATGTTATACCGTGACGGTATGGTAAAACTACGGTACTAATCCATGATATTTTATTCGAACTATTACTTAATAATGAGTTGCTTTAGCACATTGTAAGTAATATTCATTGGAAAATTATCAGATGTTATTTATATACTTCTGTTTTCTTTACTTATCTTCTTTCAGTGTTATGATCTTCGTTGTTGTTTTAAAAAGATTTAGAGCTAGAGGGACTTTGGCATTGAGTGGATGTACTGAATTGAAGTCAACATGATGAATAGTGTCGGTTTATTGTAGATGTTTAGATTTCTTCTAATTAAGTAGTCAAAAAAAGAAAGATCTTTGTGTTCATTTTCACTTTTGTATGTGAATATAATGAGGAATCAGAGTGTATTGATCAGCGTAGAAAAAGTTGATAGGAAAGTGTTTTTCATTATGACAAAATTATCGTCCGTATATCTGAGACAAATCCGTGGTTTAATATCAATGGCGAAAGTATTTGGTCCTGCATATGACATAAACAGGTTAGCTATAATCGGGGATACAAGGGGATCCCATCGCCACTTTGTTTGTATAACATAAGGTAAATATGGTAGATAAGGTTGATTTTAAGCATAGTTTTAGGGACTTCGTGTTTAGACTGATGTTTAAAGGACATCTGATAGATAAAGTATAGTCATTCTCCAGTAAATCGCTAATAAAGTCTAGGCACCTATCAATAGGTATACTGCGGTGTAAATATGCAACACCATGGCTTACCATAGTTTCATTCTTTTTGATAATTAATTCCGATATTTTTGACTTAAAATGATTATTATTAAGAAACAATGTCTACATGACCGAAAACCTAGACAGCTTGCAAACAATTTTATCACATGTATGGTGGTCAAACCTAAGGATTAAACCTAAAATATAACCACAAAAATAATAACTGCATAGACAAAAAATCGCGATAAATGAAGTAACCTGATAAAGAATGAATTTGAACTATAGTTAATAAGGTAATCGATTTCCTCAATAATTGACAAATGCTTAACAATATAAACAATGTTTGAAGTTTTTTATAACGGACTGATTTTGGTTAAACAACTGTTGAAAATCAGAAAGCAGTGAACACGCTTTACGTATTGGAGTTAGGACACTTCATCATTGCACACGCAAGACCCTGTCAGGGATCTCGAACCTAGGAAATCGAGTTTTCACAGAGACCACTTATTTTTCAAACCACTTAGTATTCTATGGTCTATATTTTGATTTTAAACAAGTTGCCACGTAACGCAACTATTTTCCATTGTTATCGGTGATATTTTTCTCACACTCAACATGGTTGGACTTCGCTGATTTTGACACCTGAATAGAACTTAGAAAGTTATCTCTCGAAGCTAGTCATTAGTAAACATATGATAATATTTGTTGTATCGTGCTATGGGAATTATTAAGTTTGAAGTTTCACACCATAGTATATTCTTTTCTTTTTTGTGTTCATATTTTTCATAAATTAGAAAATTTAACTAAAGTTATACTATGGCGCAATTATCAAGACGATATTATAGTGTGTTTACATCAAGGTATTTATTTGTCCCGAAAAGATAATGAATTAAGAAAAGTAGGTCTTTTTAGTTTTAAAAAAAATGATTAAGATTATTTCTTGTCAAGTACATTTTTTTCTTTTCGAACATGTCAACTAAAAACGCATATTTTTCATTGTTGTGTATGTGAACAGAGAGAGAAGAAAAAAAAGTAATTACCTAAAGAAGAGATTTACAACAATATGCTATTAAATCTCACTATTTATAGTAAGGAAACGGATTTTGACTTTTATTGATGTGATTTACTTTACATATTTGGTCATAAACAACTTGAAGTCCTAGAAATCGCCCAGGAATAAGATAAAAAATTATAGATGATTTATAGGTTTGACCATTTGAATTATAGAACAAGATAAATACTGTGAATGTTCGAAATTCATTGAAATGTATTGGAAAATGCTAACGAATTTTGTTCAACCTCTCTAAAGTTTTTCAAGAATATCGATTCAAGCTTTCTTACAGTTTCAACAAGAAACTTAGGGACTAGTTTGTACTCATGACACGGCGTATATATGATCTTGAATACCAGATAATGTAAATCCTTGATATAATGCTTCCTGCTCATCTCCTTTAACTACATAAAATGAAAAATATAGTATACAATATGTCAAACCAGTTATTACTTTGGAAATTAATCCCAGAGTTCAATTAGCAGTATCGATTAGACAAAATAACATTGATTAGTTTTCAGTAGTGGATTAATGTATAGACATCTTATTCATAAAGCAAATCAACCCTGTCCTGAATATCTGACTGGAAATAACTATTGGATGTGCCATTTTGTGATGAGGATTGAAATCCCACAGGGAGCATCAATTCCCTCTATATTTCAAATATACCTTACTAACTTGTGCAAATCAACACAAAAAATTATGTCCATAGCTTCCTGTCGATTTTATCGAACAATTGATCTAAAGCCATATAGATTGGTGACTACAACTACATTATAACTTCTTTGATAGGATTGGATTAATACACATTTAATGAACAAATTATACTGCAATTTGGATCTAGTGCATTCTGATTTCTCGGTGTATACATTGACAGTAGTTTATTGTTATTTTCTACTGACTAATATGTTTATTGAATTTATTTTGGCTGTGCTATATACGTTGATGTGCATAATACATATCCGATGAAGTGAGTTTTTAGATAAAAAAAACGTAGTGAATATGTCAATTCATTGCTTTTATAATTTACGTAAATAATTATTCTTCAACATTATTTTATTATTTACAACCAAGTTGTTTACAGTCAATAAATACAAATTACTTGTCATGTAAATGACTTCATGTCCGAATTAGTTTCGTGAAAAAAGAATTTGTCTTGTAATGGGCAGCATTCAAACAGCAATTTTAATTGAACAGATTATCATACAATATTCGTAATAACTAATTTTTGTTAATAGAATGGAACGAAATCATTATATCAAATTTCTATTTGTGTAGATTCATTTTGTATTGGTTGTTTGAATCTTCTCATTGATGTTTAGGACTATAATTGATTTTGATGGAGTTTTGTTCTCTGAGCTGGATGGTTTGCAGCAAACCATCCAGCTCAGAGAACAAAACTCCATCAAAATCATCCACCTGAGCTACAAATCTTCTCCACCATCTCACTGTAATTGATCAGTCTCTTATTGGCATCTGTGTATCCTGTGCGAATTTCCCCGATATTGACTCAAATCACAAGCATTATAAGCAGAAATGGATGGTGTTTCGATTTTCGTAGTGAAAATCAACTCTATAATGCAAGTACACCCAGCTAATAAGTCCTAAATAGGACGAAACGCACGTTCTGGATTCCACTGCTAGCCACTATCCATCTCTGTTTATGATATTTGTGGAGATTGTTTACAATGAGACTAAATCTATCTCATATAATGTTGTACATCAATAGTGCCTAGGATTAAATATTTTAGTTCCACTATAGTTGTCTGACCAACTGAACGAACCTGGGACCGGCCTATTGGAAATTGAGTGCTTTTTCGTGATTCGATTGGATAACTAAATAAAAACAATGACTAATAACTCAACTTCTCAATGCCCTTTGCTAAAATCTGAACTGTAAATAGTTTGGAAGATGGATAAACATTGAAGAATATGTTTTCTCTGTTGGTAATCGTGGTTCTACCATAGAAAAAGCGCTGCTTTTCATTGAAAACATGTGTGTATGACTTTTTGATGTTGACCACCGGGAAGAGTTCGATTTTAATCATCATCAATGAGTTGTGCACACATGTTTAGTATCAGCAGATGTTTTCTTGCCGAAGTGTCTTTTCCTATCAAATTCTAGTCCATATTTCAGAGTATAGAATATTGTCCCGCAACTGTTTTGATCACTATGTCAGCGCTCAACTATAACAACACTAAATCAAACAGATAATGATCACAGAGAATAATGTCAGTAGTGATTTGATTCATTTGGTTTCGAATAGTTACCAAGTCCCCAACCAAATAAATTTGAATGTATAAAACAGATTGCCACTAATCTACTCACCAAATACAAACTCACTTATGTACAAAATAGGAAACGTGATGTTTACATAATCAGGTATGCTCGGAATTTCGCTACTTGGTCGAATATTTTATTATTGAAGTGCTTTATTTTGAAGTCGACAAAACGTATATTTTAGGAGATTCTACTCATCAAATCACTGAGTCAATTTTTCCCCAAAAATTGTCTGATCACTTGTGGTGTATCTGTTGGAACTTCGTTGTCACTTGAGAAGAAATCATGTTTAAAATAAAATTTCATTTATTTGTTGTTGAATTAGTTGCTTACTTGTCTTCGCCTGTGATAGCTTGACTTTATTTGCTTAATAGGTTATTGTTACATCTTTTCAGTGTGTAAATTTGGTTATTGTCATTTTTGTTTTCCTCTCTTTTCCATTTATTGTAGTTCACTCGTTCATTAATTGACAATATGTTGCAACTTCTTATGACTACCATGGATGAAACACACCAACATATTATCAATTTAAACTTAGGTTACAGTCTTCTAATGGGACTGGCTCGTTGTTATAAGGATTTATCGATTGATTCAGTTCGACAAAAAATAATATACAGTTATTTAAATGGGCCTGGATTTATATATTATAAAATATATATACCTTATTTACAATTATTAAATGCTATGGTATGTGAAATTGTCTATCCAGCATTGTATCAAAATCATCATCCTTCACCTAATTCTACTCTTCCTCATTCATCGTCATCAGCATACGGATCTAGTGGTGTTAGTAGTACTTCTAATCGATACAAAGTGGAACATCAGTTTAATAGTAGTGTTAATAATCGGAATATTGGCATGACACCTACAACTGGACACTTTTTTGATTCAAAAGCTGTACAACTTATCTTTTCAACAATACATTGGGCCTTTTTAATTATTGTTCGTTCAAGGGTAAATAATTGTTTTCACTTCATTATTGTACAGATTTGATAGTAAATTGATATTTTGGCATTCTTTAAGCTGTATTTTTTTGTATGTTCTTTAACCACTTTATTATATCAAACTAGGAAATATTCTTGGTGTAATCCTACTCTAAATAATTCTCTTTAGGAAACTGATACCTTTTAAAAGTGTTGACTAGGCAGTCTTTTGATTGTTCTACCTTAATATGACTACGTAGCAGTACTTCTAATGATCTCATATAAAAGCAAACCATAGAGTTGTATGTTTCGCAAAAATCATGTCTTTAGGCCACTAAACCACATTTGTTTATCGGCTCAACTTAGTTTATTTTAAAGCGCGTCTCTCAATGTTAGTTACTGTACAACTCCCGAATTTGGCTGACTATGCATGTCCATTAATTAACCAATTATTATTACTCTTTGATTATTCAAGACAACACTGTCATAAAATCAGTCTACTAAATATATAGATTTTAAATTTCCTTCAAAACTAATTACTTATATACGTTGTTCCGATAACCTTGGGTGTTCGACCTTAGATTCTCATAAAATGTCCTGACAAATACGTATGACCAGACGTTTCGAAATGTTTGGCATAAATACATCACATCATTCAGATCGGCTTTGTCTACTCTTTGTTCTAGTAAAATGTATGAAAACAGTGATTAATTGCTGTACATTCATTTGTTTGAGAGAAATTATCTCTGCCATTGTTGTAATATAATTAGTCCGTTATTAATTGTCATAACAACAAATGATGTGTGAACTAATCAATTATCAACAATGAGTTAATGGATAGTGTAATGTTTATTTTAGAAATATTACACTATGCTGTGGATTTATTTTGTAGAAAGTCTGTAACATACGAGGATTTTTGTAGGTTTTCTATTTAAACAATTGCCATTGCAAAACGTTTTTCCCTATACAGCAAGTAAACTAGCTTTTTGATGCAAAAATATCAAATTATGTATTCTGATGGAGCAAAGTGATTTTCGTAACTTTGCCATTTCGAACATTCATTCATTTGGGGATATTTGATTGCACTAAATAGGTTTTAACAAAAGTCGTGCAATTTTTCAAGAAGCTTTCTTTTACAAGGTATTTAAAATGTAAAGACTTGAGAACAACATTTACAATTAATCAATCACCGAGTGAATAGTGATCAGTGTGATCTATATCAGTCTATTTGTTCCGATTGCTAATTGAACTTTATCTATAAAGTTGCAATTTGCACACTAGTCTAAGTGACTTGACATCATCACCTAACAGCTCAACATAGCGCACACAATGTATAGTTTCTTAGACCAATGGGCACATTACAACTTGGTCGATAAAATTCAATCGGTACTAAAAAAGACTTTACATGCACGACATTGGTCCCTGCTCAGTAATCAGTCAATTGTAAATGGATCTCATTCCTAACGCAGATCAATTGAGGCACGAGTGGCCTCAGTGGTGACATTTCTGACTGTGAAGGTGAGTGATACAGGATCGAGTCCGCCAGGGAGCATTGATTCTTCCAAGATTTCAGGTGCGTACACTCTGGTGATGAGTATTGGATATCATAATACCTTGATCCAGCGTTTATTGTTTAATTCCTCCAACCACCTAACAACTATTCGTACTGATCCCTAACTAATTTACAACCTATTTTATTCTGACGACATCTCTCTTTAGTGCACAATATGTATAGTCAGTGCATGAATTGTATTGTAATCACGTCTCTTTTGAATTTTCCAGTCGTTAGATTCACGATATGTTATAAATGCCTTACGAAAATGCGTGATTACATGTGGTCATTATAAAGAATTAGTCAAATTAAGATGTATTGGAAAGGAAAATTCATACTGATAAATACACGTTTTGAAATTCCACTGGCCCAGTATTATAAGCATACTATCTAGTAAGGATAATTAAAATTTACATTTAGACTGAGTTATTCTGTATCATGAAGTAATCGTAGGTTTCTCCTGAAACACTTATTGGACACTTGTTTGCTAAGGACAGATGATTCTGTTTTGTATACGATTAATTCGCTATACACAGTATAACTGGCGAGTTAATAATCTGCCACACGTCAACTGAACTTAGATCAGTTACATGTTGTCCGCCTGATTATCATGTATATTAGGTAATATAACATATACAGAAGGTAAGAAAATATAAACGGCAATCAGATATCTGTCGGTTTTCACTTACACAAGATGCCGTATAAACTATACTTAATTTTCTTGATCTAGCACTCTAATGAAACCAGGTGCCGAATAGCTTGTGTTTATTGCCGCTCGGTTCTGACAATGACACTGACTCAGTTGTTAATCTACCAACTAGTTTCAATTCATTATCATTACCACAAATTATATTTCACATTAAGTAATAACAATTGGTGACTAGAAAGCTTTCAAATATAGTTTTTTTTAAACTTTTCTATTCACCAACACATGGAGATAAAATTCCAGAGATTTTACTGTTTTTTCTCTTTCTTCTACTTCTCTTAGCATTTAGATGTTATGCAGTTGAATGATAAGGGTCAAAAAGAAGCTGAATCATTATTTACACGCCAGGTCGAATCTTTCCTGTCTGGAGTAATTGATGTGACTTGTCGTACTGATGATGTTCTACTGCGCGTGAGTAAATTTCTATCGAAAATAAACTTAAACCAAATATTTCCATAAACGGAATACACCCATTATGACATTAAATAAGAAAGAAAGATTAGTTCAGCGAAGAGTTCTCTTTTCGGCGAATTCATTTTCAAAGCTGTACAATCGCAAATATATATACTTATTTTTACAGGGTGATAATAATACTGATAATAAACTTATGATATACATGGTGACGGTGAGGTTAAATAAACAAAGGTATTAGAAAAAATTTTTTTTAAAAACAAGGAAAGTTTGATAGTTAATGGCTTAGATATTCATCGGGTAAGAGTAGCTCAGCATGATAAAATAACATAAAATACGGAAACAGAGATGAAATGTAATCGGAATGATCGTTGAAATAAAAACAAACCGGTTGGGGGTTGGCCAACTATCAAATTTCCACAGTTGGGTTCCCATTAGCCGAAAAAGAAACTTAATAATAACTCTTGCCACAAGAATACGAAGAATCTGTAGCGCCGAGGTCGTAGAGGAAGAATTGAGTTTTTTAAGAGAGATACTTATCAAAAACGGATATCCTTCCATATTCATTGATAAGAACATGAAACCAAAAATGCCAAGACCACAAACAACTGCAGTAGAAAAGAAAATTTTATACATGAACATCGACTTTAAAGGTGATAGAGCTGCATATATCTTAAAGAGGAGAATTTCAGATTCTTTAAAAAGAACATTCTTCGCAGCAACATTGCGAATATTATTCTCCAGCCGATCACTGTTCACCAATAATCTGAAAGATAAATTATCGCATCTGACCAATTCAATGTGCATTTACCAATTTACCTGCTCTTGTGGAGCTAGGTATATAGGTCGTTCGATGCGTACTTTATCCAAAAGAATTCAAGAACATTGTCCGGCGTGGCTAAGGAGAGGAGGCAGCGGCTCAATAAGAAGTTCTATAATCGAACACCTTGTGAACACAGGTCACTCAATCAAGACAGACTCTGCGTTCAAAGTCATCTACAAGGTAAGTAGAAGCCTTCCTAAGACAATTAGACTACATCTTCTTTGCATTGCCGAGGCAATAGCCATACATTTTGAAAAACCAGAATTATGTGTACAAAAGAGACTGATACATCCTCTTCTTTTACCATGGTCTTAATGTATTAAAAATTTTTCTCTTTCTCATTACTCTTGTTCTTTTACAGCCACCTGCTTCACCTTCCATCTTCCCTTCAAATCTTGTACCCCCAACCGGTTTGTTTTTATTTCAACGATCATTCCGATTACATTTCATCTCTGTTTCCGTATTTTATGTTATTTTATCATGCTGAGCTACTCTTACCCGATGAATATCTAAGCCATTAACTATCAAACTTTCCTTGTTTTTAAAAAAAATTTTTTCTAATACCTTTGTTTATTTAACCTCACCGTCACCATGTATATCATAAGTTTATTATCAGTATTATTATCACCCTGTAAAAATAAGTATATATATTTGCGATTGTACAGCTTTGAAAATGAATTCGCCGAAAAGAGAACTCTTCGCTGAACTAATCTTTCTTTCAAATATTTCCACGCGTTCATAGTTAATTCTGAATGAGTCTTATACGTTCCAATTATTTTAACTTTATAGTATGTTAAAAATCATAAATTTGATAGTCCAATTGTGTAGAATGAAACAGCTGCGTACACTGCACGGATGCAATATGATCCTGTCTTACATCCCATGGTATAAAATGAGCATATATTCCGTTTACTACTTATAAGTAGTTCGGTTGTTTTTCTGCATTAAGATAACCCGTGCAAGTCACTGTAAGCTTAGAACTTTTTCCATCCGAGCATGACTCGAGGTTTGTGTAACATGGATAGTTGTGTTAAGACGGCATAGGTATTGTCTGAGTTTCAAATGACTTGTCAATTGTTTGATTTTTGATTTTGTGACGTTCTTCAGTTTAGTTATTACAAATCGTAGTTGGTTGAAAGTTGTCGGGACACTGATTTCATACTAACTGGATTTCCTTATCCAGACGCATGTGCATTCTTAAGGTAAATGACACCTGCTATCGGATTTAAACCTGGGTCACCTAGGGCCGTATTCTGAAACGTTACTAGTTAGCTGTTCCGGATGCAACATATCTGTCAGACTGAGTTATTTACACTGATTAGTGACTGATATCATTCTTGTTTAGCCGTCACTGCTAAAAAATCTTTTTTTTTACCGATCAAGTCGTTTTACTTAAACTAGTTGTCACATTGGAACTTAGTCGATAGACCACGATCAGGATAAAAAAGGAAATGACAAACATGAGATCGGCTACTACTCAGTAGGTAATATACATAAATACTTATCCTTTTTCTCATTGGCTATCGCGTTTTTTCCCAACTTTGGTTTGAGAAACTGAGTATTCTTAGCCTGTACACAGAAGAATACGACTTAAAGCAGAGCATATAAAGAGGTGTACTCAAAGAAAGAAGTACATGAGAATACTACAAATACTCTGGTTATTACAATTTAGACACTTGTTCTTTAATCAGTTTTAGTGTGCATTTCTACAATTCTATACATTTTGAATAGTTGTACATCACAATCATAGGTTTTTTCTTCACCATACTTGTTATGTCTTATGGCCAGTTAAATATCATGTGACAAAATTGCCAATCAGGATACCGACTTCTATGACCTTGTTCCTGTGCTAAACCATTGATGCATCAAAACACCGCTAGCAACCTTGAGTTTACTCTAAGTCCCTATTGGTCCTCTGTATAGTATTTTCATGTCTATCTTAGCCCGTTCAGTCCAGAACACATATATCAGCCTTCGCCATATCAATCGTGTATTTCAGATATATATTATCCATTATATATACGTTACTGCAGAGTATTTATGAGTCATAAACTGCAGACCAAGTATACGGCTATTCTTCTCAAATGATTATTACTCTAAGCACTTAATGGATTAATGAACTATATATAAGGATTAAGTATGTTACATTAATTGGTTACTGAGTAATGTAACAAATGTCTTTAATGCTAATCAAATTCTTTTAAAGTTTCAGTACGGCTACTAGTTTGAGTAATTCAACATAACATGAGATATGTTTTGATGTTACATTGCTTTCGAAATAGTTGGCGAGAAACTGTAAAGATATGCTTCATGATAGTTGACGATTGTCCTAAAGGCGTACCTACAAAATTGAGGGAACTGATACTCCTTGTGGAAATTGAACCTTCCACTACTTAACTTTACAGTTTGAGATATCACCACTGACCTGCTGAAATAGTTGAATTCTATCAATATTAATAGGACACCTTGGTGATGCGCGAAGTCTACGGCTTCCTCCTGACTCCTTTCAATCACCTAATTGAAGTACTTTAAATTTTTAAGCCGCTAGTTATCAAATGGTGACGTAATCATTGACAATTTACTGCCTTAAACTATGTATCTACATATGCTTTACTTAATTCCTTCTCATTTATTCCTCATTCTCTATATTTGTTATCTTTTTTTTTAAAAAAAAACACAGCTTATTATATTTAAACATGTGCCAGAAATTATTAAAAATTTAACAAAAGTTTATCCAAAATTAAAGTTATCTCAATTCATCGTACAATTATTAACACGTACATTAGAAAGTTGTGAGTTACCAAGCCAAAAAATTCTAACTGAAACTATTCATTCAACCTTATTTACTGATCCACAATGTCGTCGTCTATTAGTACCAATAATTCAAACCAGTTTAACGCATGTTTTTACATCGAAATTGGATAAGGTAATTCTTTGTTTACCTAGAAAAATAAAATACTTTTATCCATTGCCTGTACGTGTGTGTGTGTGTGAACGTGTGGTCATTAGTACATTTTAATTGTTGCTTTAATTAATGTTGTTATTTTCTAATGCATAAAATGACTTACACAACTGATATGTAATTATTTCAAACAGTGACGACGCATAGAAACTCAGATTGAGGTTATCCATCATATGTTCAATGGCCAACAAGAGCGATATATTCGACTCTGTTACCCATTTTCCCATTCATATATTGTACGACTATTGCATATTGAAGTGTGATATACATTAGAGATCTTATTTCAAATCAGCACATTTGTGTTTTTTATTCGACTTGTTCAACCTGAGCTAGAAATTTATCCATTCTGTAGACAGCATTCATTGTGGCCCCACATTTTCTGGTGAAACACTAATAATTTAAACACACTACACAGTTGTTTTGTTTTGGTTTATGTAACTTATCAGAAATGAACACTTTGTTTCAAGCAAATGAATTTCGTGTCCCGTGGTGAGTTTAGAGCAATTAGACCACTGAGTAGTCGAAATTTATTTGTACATAATTCTCAACAATTTTTAACTGTTCTGTGTAATGATTGTTTCATCGTTAACACATGTTTGAACAAGACCAGATCATAGCTGTTCATTATAGCTTTTGGGAATTCATCTTGTGGCTAGTCAAATATTTAGCATACGAAATGATGACCCATCTTGTTAGCGCGAGATAGATTAGATTAAAGCATGTTCCGTGCAAGATTGTGTTGGTGCACGCTGATTGGTTATTTCTGATCCAATCAGCGCTAGTCGATACTTGGAGAAGACTAGAATCTTCTCATGTAAAAACTATAAATATACTAGTGTTTTTCTTATCGTGCTTCTTACTCCCATCTACCGTTTTTATCTGGAATATAATTTCTTATCAGAAGGGGTTTGTGGAGATTTTAGAAATTTTCACAGATTGAAATCATGAGTCAGTTGAAGCTAGACCACCATTGAAGGCCTGGAAGCACTGGACGGCTGTTTCGTCCTAGTATGGGACTCTTCAGCAGTGCGCATCCACGATCCCGCACCCCGCGGGATTCGAACCCAGGACCTGCTGGCTTCGCGCGCACTGCTGAGGAGTCCCATACTAAGACGAAACGGCCGTCCAGTGCTTACAGGTTTTCAATGGTGGTCTAGCTTCAACTGACTCATGATTTCAATATAATTTCTTTCCTGTTCAACCGTGTTATGATTTGGGACTTGTCGAGTGAACTGGTGTCCAAGATTACTAAGAAATAGGAATAGTTGGGTCGTAATAAGAGAAATTATAACACATATTGGATACGGACAAATTTTCCTCAATAGATAATAAAATTTGTTTGTTACTTCTGTGATATATGGTACGTGAATATTTATTGCAAGACAAATACGCTACAGTACAGTGTTTCGTTCGCATATTTTTTTAGACGTGCAAATAATATAAAATAGTCTTCCGAACATTTGCACATATGATAGAACCGTTGAGTGAGGAATTTTAGAAAGTGAATGGATCGTTCATTTATGTGATAGACTTATTCCATCCACCTGAGATGGCTATAAGACATTCCGCGTATTATTTACTCATCATTATTTCGGCTGCAAGCTATTATTTGAAATGAAAAGTTAAACTCCAAAACTTTATTGGATCTAAAACTTGACACTATTTCAGTACACGTAAATAAGTCTTTGTCATCTTAGAAATTCCAGCTTAATTTAGTGTTTTATCAAACATTCAAGTTTGTGCAAAACTATATCTGTAAATTGTTTTTATACATGTTTGTATATATGTATGCACACTCTCATTTATTATTGTTCTCAATGTATACTACTAGGTTCTCAGTTGTAAAATTAACGAGAATACAGCTATAATGGATGTTTGGTGTGATGTATTGCTGTCATTTATGGACAGTTTTACAAAAGCCACTGCATCAACTACAACAACATCGAGTTCCTCATCATCGACCACTCAGTGCATTGGTGATAATTCTGTTGATAATAATCATGAAGCTAATCAGACCGATGATAATATTGATAATACTGAAGATAAATCTAAAGCCATTGCCTCTGTGACAACACCAACAAGGAAATTATCATTTACATTTGACAATTCTAATCAGAATTGTTCATATTATGACAATCAATCGGATGAAGTGTTTCACTTGTTAATAAAATGTAATTTTCTTCGTTGGACTATGCAACAGTTGTCACGTATTCTACTATTTATACATCAACGTAATTCTACTTTATGTTGTGGTGATGATAGTAGGTCAGATTCTCTTCCAACTACCGGTATTAGTAGTAACGGTGGGCACGGTGGCAACGGATTCGGTGGTGTTTCCGGTGTTGTCAGTGGCAATAACAAAACATTATCATCATCTAGTAAAGTTTCACCTAAAAAACGCCTTATACATCCTTCCTATCACCGGTTACAACCAATTATGGTAATTTGTTTAAATGTGCATTTATCACTCATTTTAAATACTATTTATCTAATGTAATGTAATTATATTCAATGTTATATTGATTTCTGCTTGTGCAAGTGTGATTAATGTGTTGTTCGCGTCAGGGATCACCTGTAGATTTTACGATAATTTTTGCTGTCTTTTATCTATAAACGTGGTCTCATCAAATGGATCTGGTTGTCGTTTATGTCGTTCAGTAAACTGTAGGGATGAATTTAATGTGTAGAAAGTGTTCATTGTAGATTAATGATATCAATTAGTATAGGAAAACATTGGAAATTAAGAAAAAGTGGGTATTTGTTTCTGTTTGAAGAACAGAATCCTGATAATCGGATATTGAATTCATGGCCAAATTAAAATATGCTTCTTCGTCCATTTTCAAGCGATCCTCCACGTTGGATTCTAGAAACGTTTATCCTTTTACTACTGGACGTTTTATTGTTCCAGTTATTCGGAATGTATCTTGTTTTCCTCCTTAATCATTGCTTTGATTTGTGGCAAATCGAGTGAATAGAATAATATATGACTGTAGACTTAGCAATTTTCTTGTGGTTTTGGTATTCGTATGGTAATTCTCACCTATTATCTGTCCGAACAGGAAATGTTCGATCCGTGATGAAAACTGTCTTCACAATATATCCCTTTTTTATTTATTAGTGGAATCCTTGCACCATATACCATACTGATATAACATTGGGTCTGCTATGTTCAAACCAATAATACCAATACTCCTACTAAATTACCTGACGTGTTAACGCTTTTTGGGACATGTATAATCCCTACCTCGAAGCTGCAGTCATGACACGACAACATGATAGGTGGTGTAATTTGTCTTTATTGACTGAATAATTCACATGATCATATGTTTGATTTATAGGACCACAAAGCACCATTAAGAAATTACACTATGTGCTTAAGTAGGACAATATAGTGCAAAGTCTGAATAACATGTTCTTTATAAACTTACAATAATCTGAAGGCAGAAATAGGATACAACAACAGTCATTGAATTAAATAGAAGCTTAAAAATCGCATAAACGAAGTGTTTATTAAATACAGGTGAAAAGTATGACATATTGTTAGGCGAAAACATGACTTGCGTAGTTTGTCATCTTCACTTATTTGTTTCATCCTAACACACACAGTGAAGACCAAATTTGTTCAATTACTAATTACATTATAGCAACTCACGTGTAATTGAGTTTGCTCACATTTAATTCGGTTAAGTCATTTTGTTAACTTATTAACGAACTGAGTCATTCGTACAACAACAACAACTTATCTATATCATTGTATCTTTATTATTGTTGCGAATGTATGAACATGTGTGCTTGAGCATTGCTTACTGCCTACTCATTTTTTCACGCTGCATGTCTTACTACTAACCGCTTAATTGATTCGATGATTCATTCACTTCACTATGTATATATGTGTACTCGCTTACTCGTACTCATATTCGCTGACTCACTCGCTTGCCTGCTTGCATTTCGGCACAACTCTTTCATGCTTGTTTAGCGCACCTGTAATTTGGGATATCTGTGTGTGTGGTCCCATGATAAACGTAATCAACACTTCGTATTCGCCTTCTGATTAATATACCGTTGGGGCGTTATCTAGTGACGGTTATCAAAACGAACTGTATACGAAGTTTAAGGATTATACTGAATACCGACCACCACACCATGCTGATCTAGTGTTACATAACGTTGAGATTCATTTCACGTCATAAATAATGACTGGTACTACTAGGCAATGGATTCTTATCCGCTATTTACTTACTTCGCTACGAGTTATCAAATTGTGAAAAAAAGTTTGAATCGAAACCGAGTCTACGGATTTGTCCTTAGCAACTTGTTAGGACTACTTACCTGTTAAGAGTGTAACTGAATCGGAATAAAATGTTACTGTCAGTACCACTACGACTACCATTTATTCTGGTACTATAATAATCAAACTAAATGATATTGTATGCTTTGCTGGTTGGAACGATAATTCAATGATTATGGAGTTCAACTTCCATCTACTATATCACATATTCGAACCCTACTCCATCTAATTTAGTTTGGGCTACTTAATAATATCACTATTCCTCAAAGTTGTAGTATGGCTCCAAGTGCAGATCTGTACCTGAAGAATTATGTATTAATACAATTCTTTTATCTGTAAATAATACGTTTTTTTCTTTTGATGATGTTTTTTTTCTTAAGGGATGTCTATCCACTGTACTATTCTCTTCATTACAAATGCTTACAAAATGTAGTTGGATAAAATTTTTCAATCTGTTTATTATACCAGTGAAGAATGTTGCCAATGTAATTACTGTCATAATTTACAATTAGTAAATATCTATGATTTTCTACATGAATTATTCACTCTATTCTCATTGATGCACTTGTATCCTGGTTATCCAGCGCCAATGTTTCAGTCAAGATCTGATAAATTATGGACAGTTGGTCGTTATTCATGGGATGATGATTATCATGATGAAAGACAATCAGAGCACTCTGACAAAAAGAAAATATCATATAGGAATTCATCACTGACTCATAATCATAATGATAATACTAGTAATAATAATGTAGAATTATTCTCTCAATCATGGATTGAAATGTTAACATTGATATCGAATGCTGAGCTAGATGTTATTGAAGTACTGATTGAACTTGTTATGGAACCATATTTTATTAGTCCTAACTTAGATAATAAAGTGAGTTTTTTCGGTGATATTTCATGAACTGGTTCAAATTGTCTTCGACGTTTGTTGTTTTTACCGGACTGTGTGGGAACTCCACTGACTGTTATACATCATCGATAGTATGACTCATTCTGTGTAATCCGTCTCTGTAAACCAATGATAATAAGATAACTTGTTTTTTAATCAAAGAGGGGTTACATAATAAATCTTGGTAAAACTGTCATGTAGGCTATATTACATAAGACATTTATTGATGTAATTATAACTACACCGATAAAATGATTGTGTTAACACTGTCAATTTATTAGTGAATTATGTGCAACTATGCACAGTTTTCCACTAATACATTATAATCACGAATTGTATTTCGCTTTTCGAAATGTGAATAATGTTGGCTGTGAATATATGTCGGTTGATTGAATTCGGAATTTCAAGTCGTTGATCAAGTTCATATATGAAAGCGCTTATTCACTAAAGTCAATGAATCCTATAAGCAAATATTGTGTACAATAGTTTTTTTCAGATTATTTGACTCCTTTCTCTAACAATTTTCCCAATATTACTTGCTTGAAATGTTCATTGAGGCTTTTGTCATTTTGAAGACATAATTATTTCTATATTAAGATCATGCTTAGCTGTGGCAATTTTTAAAAAGAAATGGAACATTCAGCAATTTAAACCGTACCTCATACGTTCTGAAATCTTTAAAACGTCGGGAAAATGTCATTTTTCAGTGTAGTTACAATCTTCATTAACATTCCGAGCAGCTTATCTGTTTGATTATTGTGTCATCAAAGTTCCTAATGTCTTTCTTCTGGAACCTATAGTGTTACTTTCTGCCAAACACTGGCAACAAGGATTCTACCAACTGTCATTGTATTCTTGCTTCAGACAATCGATAGATCATGCAAGTATTTACGTATTTAGTGGCCCGTGGATCTGACTCCTATTTAGATCGTATAAATGTTTGCTGTCGCCTATTCTCGTATATCATCGTCGACTTGAATCGCGTTAGTCAATAACGGAATTAAATAAGTCGAATAACGAGAATTGATTTGTGAATACATATATTTTGTACATGAAGCGAGTGAAACAGAGCAAAGCAAAATGACACGTATGGAAGATGGCTGGGAAGCAAACTTCATTTTTGTCAAGCGTTACTCAATATTTATAGGCAGACAAAATAAACTACAGACATGTGATGAGTCATGGGATATGATGCGTACACACATATACGCTCATATAAAAACAGTCAAGACTGATAAGCGAATAATTGACAAGGTCAAAATATGACTCAAGTAGAATGAATAGAATGGAATGTCCGAAAGCTAGAATAAGATATATGGGCTTAAAATAATGACTGACACTACATGTACACAACCCTCTAATCAAAACAGTGAAATTCTAGATGAGTGGTCACAAATGCCTTTATTGTTCAAACTCATGATCCACATGATAGTATGAATAAAATACAAGACAAATGTTTATTCTGAGTAGTAGTACAAACATGTCCTTAGTTGTCCAATCCTGCTACAATGTTAGGAATTCATCACAAAAAGACAATTCGAATTGCGAGTTATTTTGATCAGTAATTAGTGTGCGCTTTCGACAATATCTTTTCAAAGTTATGTACAATAATGTTTGTTTTGAGGTTGATATGACTAAACAGCTGGTAAGTGTTTTTTTAGCGAGTTAGTTTTCTACGGGATGGGGACGCTAACCCCCTACCCAACCCTCCTCCTTTACCCGGGCTTGGGACCGGCAGTAACTCTGGAAGAGCTACAGGCGGAGTTATGACTAAACAGATTAATACAATGATAGTCACGAATCTTTACTGCCAAAATATGTGATGGCTATCTCGAAAATCTGATATTTTACTGACCTATGGAATATTAAAATACGACTTGTGACTACGACAAATTAATGTCTGGCAAATATACCGTTCTGTGTAGCTTCTTGAACAATCTAAGCTGCATTATAAAAGTGCCCAAGCAATGTTTTGCTCATTGGTCCTACAACAGAAATAAACTATCCAATCCAGGTTATTAGAAAAAAATGTCAGGATGAATCAAGAAACCATCGCCTAAAATATTGATTTATAATGCGTTTACATCTGATCATAGATAATTAATGTATGCATACAATCAGAATGTTAACCGAATTCCTCTATCTGTGTTTTACAATAAGTGTTATCTTTATTCTTTTAAATTATCCAAACAGTTTCTATTGATTTCTGCCCAATCATCGTCATCATTAATAACAGCAAATACACCAGCAGTGTGTCACACAGAACCTTGTTTAACTAGCGATTTAATTGAATTAATTGCACAATGTTTGACTGGATTCGCAGTGGAACAAGCTCATTTATGTGTAGAAGTTGTGCCGCCCGTGACTAGAATTCGTATTGATCAAAGTTTAACTAGTCAGTCAATTGATATGAGACAAAGAGCTTGTGATTTACTATTATCGTTATGGCATTCTATCGGTAAATGAGATAAACTTCATAATATATTGGTTTTATACAAAGTTTAAAGTGTAATGTAATTTTGTTTATTATTGTTGTGTATATTTTTGTCAAGTTTCGGTTATTCTCTTCAAAATGAAATCATCATACTCAAAAAGTGAGATCAACTATCTGCATCATGTTTAAATATTGCTTCCATAGATTCTTGAATGTCATTAATTTGTTATTATCAACGTGATTTACTTATTGTCAATGCATTAGTAACCGGTTGATTGGTGATCTCACCAGTTAGTCGTCTGTAACCACCGGTGTTTTGGCTAATTATGTCTATACAGTCATACTTAATCAATATAAGGTCTGGCACAAGTGTAAATTGACCCAAGTTGCGATTGAATAGTAAGGAGTTCCGTGGTTGAAGGTAGTCATTGGAATATTTTAACTCAACAGGCTTCTGATAGAAGTGTAGTATTTAAATTTGCCCATATATAACTAATAGCTTTTCCTGATGATCTTGATCTTCTTTGATTATCGTTAAACTTTAACTTGTCGTTGTCTTCATATTTATTTTGTTTGTCTCTCTTTGATTTGATTCTTGATTCTATAGTTATTCATGATTTTTCTGACTGATTGATATATTCCATATGTCTATCGATTGTTGATTGACCTGAGTCCCAAACTTCTAAAGATCCCCTGGTGTCTGAGGAATCCGTGTGTATTAGTTTTGAGTTAATGTTGATTTTCAAGACAGGTTGATGAACGTGGGGCAATAATATTTGACTGCAGCATTAAAAGGTTTGCTCAGAGTTTTTGGCACCTATGTGTCTGGGACCACATTATTGAGTTGTGCTGTTTAGGCTGTAACGAGCTTGGCTGGTGTTTAGTGCTCCTGAAAACATTGTAAAATTATATTTTTACAGAACAGATTTATGGTTATGAATCAGCCAGTTGTTCCTTTCATTAATCCTATGCTTGTATGAGAGATTAAGGTATAGATACCTTAAAATGACGAAACCGTGAACGAATTGCGAAATAGCTCATGGTTCCTTCGAACTAAAAGACTCAATATGTAAATGTAGTACATGACTTAGTCCCATGACCCCCACGAAGATGAGTGCATTTATTAGAAGGGAACCAATCGTCTTCAGCTGCGTGTTACATTCGATGGTGACTTTGCACAGCTTTATGAGTCATAGTCGACCTTATTTTGGCGAAAAAGTTTTAAAAGGTGGTGACAGTGCACTGGAAAATCGTTCTACCGTAGTTCAGGATTTCTATGACGTGTGCTTACTCACTACCCTCAACCGTCCAGTTTCACGGTGTTACCTTAAAACCAATGAATTGAAACTTAATAATTTGTCACTTCGATATAGTGGAAATAGTAATGGGATCATAGTATAGTGAGGGACACTAGTGATATTATCATGTGTAAAAATTAGTATATAAATAATTGTATTCTGGCCTAATGTGGACGTGATTTTGGAACTTGTTTGGAGATGGTTTTTGAGAATCAATAAATCTTCACTGCACTAGTCTTTCGTGTTCTTACTTTGTTATGGAAGTTGCGGTTGTTCTTTATTGCCTAGTAAAATCAATAAGACCGCGGAGAAAACATATTCCATACATAAATAAGGGCGATGATACGCGGAAACAATAATGCATATTAGAAAATACGTTTGTAGAATAAGATGATATTACTGGTCTACCATTATCATCATCGTTATTGGTTTCGATATACGTTCTTTTGTATCCATTTTTTCGTTCAATGTAGATGATCGATCAAAAGTGAATTATATTCACATATTTCTACCGAATGTCATCAATATGGCTACACTGCCACTTCCACGTAAGTTCTCCTCTTTTCTTTTTGTATTCTGTATAATCAAATTATATAGAATCATATGTTCTATAAGGGGAAATAATCAATCATACCCTCCCTCTACACATGTTCACACATACAGTGTTTATTCAAATCGTACTTTATAAAGTATAATACTTGCGGTGAATATGAAATAAGAAAGAAAGATTAGTTTAATGTTGTAATGGGTGTATTCCGTTTATTAAAGAATATGAAATAGTTTAAGTCTGGGATCTTGTTCGATAATAATTGTCATGTACTAGTGAAGATTTCTTCCACTTCCTCTTTGTAGTTATTTGTTTTTCCTTAGTCTTTGAAATAAATCGTCTTATCATTATTTCCGTTAGTTTGTACTGCTACATCTGTTATTTGAAATACAACTCATTCGTACTGAAATATTAGCTTGATGTTAGTTGATCACAAATTATTTCACTCTTGACAAACCTCTAGACCAAACCATAATCGTATACATTCACTATTGACTCATGCTAGTGGTTTCGAAATAACTTCTTTGAATGTTCTAGTGTAAGTTTTAATTGATGGGATTAATTACTCAATGGTTATCATGGGTTAAGTAAGTTTTGGCACACCATTTAAGTTGATATTTTCGAAAAGTAATCAGTAATGTTGAATTGTTTATTATTGTTTCAACTGAACTATTTGATGAAGTGTGATGTAATAATAAAACTTATAATCTAATGAAGGCTAAGTAACAAATATATATCTGATCCACTGCAATCAGTTTCATGACATGTGATCTATGCTGTCCCTATAGGGTTCTAACTTAACGACTGAGTTGCATGCGAAATCTTTAGAGCAAAAAGTGTGGTTTTTTTAAAACTACGGTACTGCTTTGGAAAACAGCGTAAACACTAATTGTTTACGATCTTCGAATCACGAGATAATAGTTGAACACTTTGAACATATGTCTGTATAATCACTTACTTACGCATGTTACCTCTCGTGGAGCATGGGCCGCCGACTAGGAATCTCCAACCTACTTTGTCCTGGGCTCTTCTTGTCAATTGTTACTAAGTGCTATTTATTCTTTTGATATCTACCTTGAATTCCTGTCCCATATGTTCTTTGGCCTTCCTCTTTTTATTTCCAAGTTCTTGCCTTGCTAGTTTCCACGAATTTTTACCTATCTACCTTCAGCTGGAAGTTAGTTTGCTCTTTGTCAGAGTAGGTGGTTGCTAATGATGTTCGGTTAACGGATCTGGAGTATCTTGCGTAAACAACTATATAAATGCCTGTACTTTTTATGATGATGGTAATAGTTCTCTAATTTTCAAGTTACTAATTAATTATGAAATTCAAAAAATGTGGTATTAATAATAAGATAACTTACTGTTAGTTCAAATGAGAATATCTATTATTAAGTGAAGTAAATTGTCTCTCTTGGTGGTGTGATTCGACAACTAATTGCTGAGGTTTCATGCAATTGCTTCCCTTTATGAATTTGAATAAATCAAGACAAATATAACAATTTATGTGATAATTTTAGAGATGAAGGGTTTACATAATATCATTGGAACAATATTTGAAGAGTTTAGATAAGTTAGAAGAATTAAATAAATGAAAATGTATGGGTGAAGGGATGTTTTTGGTTTACATAAAGTAGTCAAAGGAAGACCACTAAACAAAATAAACACATAAAATAATGATTAAAATAATTTACCAAGGTAGTAATAAGTTTATCACTATCTCTTTCTGGAGACATAGCTCAGCTCCTGAGCTTTTTTATTACTATTGCTTCTGCAAACCAAAGAGGCACTGCGTTTTTTGTTTTTGCTAATAATTTTAAAGGCTTGTGGAATGTCAATGGTATCCCTAGTGTCAAGTAAATACCGATGTATTTCATTACTGATGTCGTACCTTGTGCTCAGCCTTTTTTAATCAGTCCATATGCCTCCCATCTCGGTATCGGATGCCTGAAGATTCAGCCTCTTCAAAATCATCACTAAATAGTTTAAAATTGCTACCCAGTAACCTGCATTTATATTGAACATTATTGAGTTACACGATCAATGTTTTGAAAACCCCTATACTAAGGATCATACTGTTGGTTCTTACTAATAAATCGTACGTTCGTACAATTTTGATTACAATGCAATCATCTGACGAAGTAGACATAGTTATATCATTCTACTGTGTTTGTAATTTATAGAAATTTATTTCATCATAACGATCTACTCATATTGCATTTATTTTACGTTGTAATATTGTGGCTTTTTATAGGAATACGCGAAAATTGTGTTGATTGTATATTGAATGCATTGACTATTCATGCACCTACCGTGGAAAATGTTTTTGTTAGTGAAATCGATCGTGTTGTCCAGTGGGCTGGTACAGATTTTGCTGCAGATATTCGTAATCTTTTACAAGACGAATTTTCTAAAAAACGCAAACCATTACCACAACCGCCTCGTCGTTCACATGGAACGGAGGATTTTGATCATAAACAACAACGAGTGATTAGTGATTTTAGTAAACAAATCGATTGCCTACTTCATTATGGTAAATTTATTAATCGTCCATCACAAATGAATGAAATGTTGGCGTTTTGCAACCTAAGAGTAAGTGATCACTTTTTTGTTTTGACTTTTGTTTTCGTTAACACTACTTGCTATGCCATCTAATTATTATTCCTTTTTTACGGATTACTACTGACGAGTAGTAACGTGTTCGTTTGTATAAAATCAAAATTCTTAATAACACCATATTTGTCATTACGATTTTTCCTAGTTTTTAATAGCTTATTGCCATGTTAATTTGGTTAATCAATAGGGGATTAAAGACCTAGATTTCATACTAACGGGTAAAACGTATCTGAATTGTTGCTGGGTTACTAACGTTCATTAAGATGTGTTTACTCCACGTATTTTTGCAAAATTTTTTCAATATCCTTGTTACTTCTTTCTGGTTCAAGTTTATTACTATTCATTAATGTTGTTCGTTGTTTTCTGAACTGTGATTTATGACCCTTCATACTTTTTTTGTTTAAGTTATCAGTTTAATCTATGTTCAAGTGAATTAAATGATTTTCTATCAATATCCTCTTGTGTATACATATAAATTATTCTGTTCTATTTGTAGAAATTCTACGAATCTATCAATCGTAAAGATATGATTTTGCGTTATTTATATCGACTGGATCGATTGCATGCAGCATATTCTAACCAAACAGAAAGAGGTTATACTTTGGAACTGATTAGTGAAAATTATTCGGTAAACATTTACTTTATATTTCACTAGTGAACATTATCCTTTCTCCTGATATCTCATCGATTTCTATTGAGAAAAGAGTGAATATATGTATATTAATTTATGAGATTATGCGTGTTATATATATTATTTATATGGATGATCAAGTATCTTTTATACTGAATTATTATGAGGCGAACTGTAAACTGTTGTTTTTGTGGAGCAGCGATGTATCAATTGTTTAGGTGTTCGATTTTCAGTCACTAAGTCATAGGTTTAATCATCGCTTTACCTATATCGGTTTCGGAAACTGAATATTTTCAATAGACCTGACACTGAGAGTTTACTCAGAGTTACGTACACGAATTTTTACCCTGCGAGCGCCTGTTTCATATCGATTACTATTAATCGACCATTTGTTTATCATATAAATCAAGATTTTTCATCGTGTGAATGATTTAGATCCTACACAATGGTAACTTATAATATGAAGGATACTTGTCAATTCACTGGATTAGGAATTGTAAGCTCGCGTATTTTTCCATTCACGCTGTATCATAGGGGGATGTTGAAGTTTTTTTGGCTCATATGTATATCGATATTATAAGAATTTAGTAGCAGTTATGAACATAAAAAAATAGTTTTAATAAAACAATGAAATGTTACTATGATATTGAACAGTTCGAACTGAGAATTATAGGCAAACAACGTACGGGATTTCTGTCCACTCTTATTAACTTATTTCTCACTGAATATCAGAAATATCGAAGCTCTGGACCTCCTAAAACGATTCGGTTGACGAGTCAATAACTTGATAAACTGATACCATATGTTCGTTAGACTGCCATGAAGTTTTTTCGAATCTACTTCAATATCGTGTAACATCGTTCATATTAGCGTTGGTTCGACATGCCAATCATTTCAGTCGATGCAACTTCACGGTCGTCACATCAGCTGATTTTTCATCATTGCCTAGTACTCTACGACTAACCTTAACTCTGCTTTGTTGGTTTTTCCAGTCTACGTGACCAGTTGTTCGTCGATATCTATGGTCAAAATCTATTTATATACATATATTCTCAGCCTTCAATGCTCATTTTCCATGTGTATTGACTGATTCAACATTACTTGAAAGTTTCCATGTAATCTATAAACCAGTTTCCTCCACTTATTTTGAAAATCCATACCATTAACGCCCATATCTCAGTGATTAACTTCTTTTTCTCTGTTTTTCTTTAAAAAATAATAATAATAGTGGGATGAAACCAGTGTTGATGTGGATGACGTATCACCCCATTATGTACAATATGGAAAAAGTTCATCACGAGAATTACGTGAACGTTTATTGCTTGATAGTTTTGAATATTTAAAACAAGGTACCGATTGGGAGCATGCAATAGATATATCGAATAAATTAATACATTTATATCGTGATATTATGCCAAATTATGAACGTCTAAGTGAAATATTGGTAAGCTTTATTTTTTTTCACATTTAAAGCAATATAATTTGTCTTTGTTATAAACAAATTTTATGAATCATTTTCTGTTGTTGTAAATGGAATTCACAGTTACGAATCTAGTTGCAATCATATCCTTTTATGTCTATCGGTTTAAATGTTTTTAAGAACAGGTGTTTATAGGGAATATTTCAAGTTGTTTACGAGAACATACCGCAGTGTGATTCTACAAGAGTGAGAGGAGAGTAGTTGTAAGTTCTATTCTTAAATATAGAATCACTCCACTGATCCACGGCTTAATTTTAAAGTTGTTAATACGATTCGTCCAAATCTACCAAGATTTCTTCGTACTCAATTCTTTAAAACTGTAGAATTTCTTACCATCCATGAGTTGAAGCCCGAACTGTGCGTACAAAAGAAGTACGTTTTATCGTCATTGTAATCTTGCCTTTAAACTATTATTATTATTATTATTATTATTATTATTATTATTATTATTATTATTATTCACTTGGTATTGTTTTACTTGAATCTTCCTATTGATATTTAAGACTGCAATCGATCAGTCTCTTATTGGCATATGTGCATACTGTGCGTATCACCTCGATATTGCTTTAATTTACAAGCATTATAAGTAAAGATGGATAGTGGCTAGCAGCGGAATTTACGACGCGCGTTTCGTCTCGTTTGGGACTCATCAGACGGATGTACCTGCACCTCAGAGTTGATGTTCACTCCGGGATTCGGACCCGTGGCGGTTTAAGCGAACGGTACTGGGTTCGAGTCCCTGAGTGAACATCAACTCTGAGATTCAGTTACATCCAACTGACGAGTCCCAAATAGGGCGAAACGCTCGTCCTGGATTCCCCTGCCAGTCACTATCCATTTTCGCTTCTTCTTCTTCTTCTTCTTCTTCTTCTTCTTCTTCTTCTTATTATTATTATTATTATTATTATTATTATTATTATTATATTTCGTTTTTGAAAATACCTTCCTTTCTTGTCAATTATTTCTTATATCTTGATTTTATCCATAATTGTTTCGGATATCGGTTCATTTCATCTCACCCCTCCATTACCTATAATTGCGTTTGATTGAGATCGCGAACTGATTGATGTTAGACCACCATTGAAAACCTGGAAGCACTGGACGGCCGTTTCGTCCTATTGTGAGACTACTCAACAGTGTGCATCCACGATCCCGCCAGCGGGATTCGAACCCAGGGCCTTCGGTCTCGCGCACGAACGCTTAACCTACTGGACCCCTGAGCCGGAATCCCGCGAGCGGGATCATGGATGCACACTGTTGAGTAGTCCCACAATAGGACGAAACAGCCGTCCAGTGCTTCCAGGTTTTCAGTGGTGGTCTAACATCAATCGGTTCATGATCTCAATCAAAAATTTAACAATCTCCACAACCCCTAAAAACCTATAATTGCATTTGATTATTTTAACAAAAACATTTTAATAATCTTATTCCATTCACATTATAATCCGTTTCTATGTTATTGATTTTACAAAGCTTTCTATTTGCACACACACAATCTTATTATTCTTATTATTATTGTGTAACTTAGTAATGTAATCTTTCTATTCATCATCACTTTAATCCCTTGTTCATGTGCCCTCACGGAACCAATAGCTTAAAAAATCTCCATACGTATATATTATTGTATAGCTTGTTGATAAATACGTTGAAAAGAGATCCACTTACTGAACTTCGTGTTTTTAGATTTTAAATAGGAATCATTCGTCAAGAGAAGATTAACTCTATTGAGGATGGTGGGACATGTATAATAATGACTTCAGAATTGATTAATACAAAAAAAACTCGAACAAACACAGGAGAGGGTACACACGCCAATTATTTCACAGCACTATAATGTTTATTGTGTGCCTGAATATGCGTTTAGTAGTAATATAGTAGCTATCATTATGATTTTCTTTATCTCAATGGTGATTTCAGGTAACCTATACGCATTACAAAACAACTTGACGTATTAATTCATATGAAACTGAACTATCAGTAAAAATTTTAAAATAATCACGCCGATTACGAATGATACTAGTCCTAAATGGACCACTCTAGTCAGTCAGTAACAACGTAGAACTTCGTACGTACGTACATCAGTTCGAGTTGCCATACCACATTAGCACAGAGATGGTAAGAGCATAAGCAGAAATCGGAAAGATTAGGGTTTGAATATGTTATTCAAGGAGTATAATACAGTGAAATAAATTTGGAAAGAGGAAAAAAGTGGCATGAGGAATTTAGAAGATTATAATTTGGGAGAACACAAAGAATGGATGCACCTGCGCTATTGCAAACAATTTTGAGCCATGTCATTCAGGGTCTCTAACCATCAGTTGCTATCATCTCGCGGTCACCAACCAGGTAGTCTACACCTACCAACATGACTCAGTCTACTTGTCAGTGACTTCATGGACTTGTGCCATGTCTTGGTCTGGCCGCTCCTAGCTTTCCTCCAACCTATTCCTATACCACTGAACATAGCACGTCGAGACAGTCGGTCGTTGGGCATACGTAACGCATGTCCAAGCCATCTCAAACTGATGAAGTTTCACTACGTCATCAATTGATTTGCCATCTTTATCTAGTACCCGTTTCCTAACAACTGCATTACCTACTCGATGGTCCCAGTATATACGAGCAATGTTTCGAAGACACCTATGACCAAATATTAGTAATCTACGGATATCCTCTACTCTTACCGGCCATGTTTCACTGCCACAAAGTAGGACGGAACGAACTGCTGCGCAGTAAACCCGTCTTTGGTTGATAGACGGATATCTCGCCTACACCATAAATGACGCAAGTTAGCAAAAGCTAGTCGAGCCTTCTGTATCCGTGCTGAGATTTCGTCACACACCAGACCACAAGGGCTGATGAGACTACCAAGATAAGTGAAGCGATCGACACGCTCAATTACTTCACTCCCTATCATTAGTTCGGGTGTCAATGCAACCCAATCCTGAAGCAACATTTTGCATTTTGAAGGGGAGAATCGCATCCTGAACATGCTTGCATTGTTGCTTAGAGTGGTCAGAAGACTCTGCATTTTGTCAGCGTCTTCACCAAATAGAACTATGTCATCAGCATATTGTAAGTCAACAAGTGAATCTCCCGGTAGAAGTTCAACCCCTGGAAATATAGACGAGGAAATTGTTATCTTTAGAAGTACGTCAACGACAAAGTTAAACAAGAATGGAGAGAGTGGACATGGACCACTCTATCTTGTTTCTGAATGATTTCTAACTCATACAGTACGTACAAGTTTTAAGCTATGGTCTTCGTATAATCACTCTCAGTGCTATTCACTTAGCCAAGACTCTGTATTAGATGGAATGGGGTTCAAATATGCTATGAATAATTAATTGGAAGTCAATTAGTTTAACTATTAAACCACCACCTCTATAGAAATGGTTTTGCCTTTAAGTATGTCAGCAAGGAAGAATCCTTTTCATTTATCGTTTTATGTTACTATTATATAAGAACAGAAAAACAGATTACTTGGTTGGCATTGGGACTAGTGAGATCAGGGCTTAGTGATTGGAATGCGGTTTTATTCTCGTTCTCTCTGTTATTATCTATTAGTTGATCTATTTAATCAGCAGGACCAGTGACCTTATAAATATCAAGTGACACACTGTCCAACGAATAACAACCAAGACCTTAGTTCTGATTGGCGCTCGAGCTCTTACAAACTCAGTGTTTAGTTGGAAGACGAAGACAGAAAGCAGATCAGTTATCTGTTATACTTGATTCTATCGTGACTTAAAAGTCATGCAATAATATGCCTAAAATGTCTGGTCACACAACAACACAGTTAGGCGGTTACGATGTGCATATGACTTATTCATAGGTGGTATAAAATCGAAGTAATAGAGAAATCACTAATTATTTATAAATCTGACAATGATCTATGGATCAGACGAAATCTTAGTAACCAGAAATTAAAGAAATACAGCAGTTTAATCATCTACTAATGATACAATAAAAATGTAAACAATAGTCCTTTGTATGACAGTCTCAAAAGCTATGCCTCCACATGAATCATACTATTACTTATTAGTCTTACTAATTAGTTATAGGCATGTAGAATTATAGGAATTTCGTCTGCTTTTTATCATTTATCCGAATATTTTCTAAACCCATCTCTTCTTTTTTCTTTTATTTCTTTGCAGAAAGAACAAGCTAACTTGTATAGAACTATTGTTACAAATGAACATTCACGTTTACCATTTCGTTATTATTTAATTGAATTTTATGAACCAACAACATCAGCTTTAATGATGATAACAAATCGTAAATTAATCTACCGTACAACATCAGATTTAGGTGATGTATTAAATATGCTAACGGAACAATTTCCTGATGCAAAAATATTAAACCAACCATTAACAACTACAAATCAATCAACATTGAATACATTTTGTATATTTGCTAGTGGGAATTTAGAACCGGAACCTGAAATACCGGAACATTTGAATTCACGTATTGTTGACACTAAAATTAAGAAGTAAATATTTTAACCTAGTAGAAGTTTTGCTTATTTAATTTGTGCACAGACTCTGACACTTAGTATTGGTTTTGAATAGTTGGAAGTAGTCGATAATGAACTCCGGATCTAGGTTTTGTTCTGACTGACACTCGCCGGCGAGATATACTTGTAATCTCGAGGTAACTGATGCTTCCTGGTAGATTTGAATCTAGTATCACACTTTCATGATCTAAGATGTTACCAATAAAGTATTTAGGACAAAATTGGTCCCCGGCGAGACTGAAATATATGAAGTTGATTGATCACAGTGTTGTGCCGAATGTATTGTTTGTCAAACCCTTCGGTATTGATCGAATCACACAGAAAGCATGAATTCTCTCAGGATTGTAGATATGTATTACTGACGAATGCCATCTAACAAGAAACATTAATCCAAGGTTTCATCCTTCATCCCAGAGTTGATGTTCACTTCGGGGCTCAAACCTGGAGCTATTAACTTCAAACACCACCGCGTTATCCATTTAGCTACTGAATTCAAATAGCCACGAGCTTCTGCAATGGATTGAATTTTAATTCATATATATTGGTTGTTTGAATTTTCCATTAATATATATGACTGGAATTGATCAATATCTTTTCATCATATGTTCATCTTATGCGGATTGCCTCGACACTCCCATCAACTCACAAGCATTTTTAATTAGATATGGAAGGTGGCAAGCTGACAGATCCAAAATAGGACAAAGCGTATATCCTGGGTTCTACTACTGTCCATCATTCATATTTTCTCAAAAATGCTTGTAAATTAATAGGAATATTGCGGCAATTCGCACAGGATCCATATATCCCCAAAACAGACTAGTCAATTGGAGTCCATAACATTAACTCAATGACTCGAATAACTAATACATGATTGTAACTTCTTTCAAATATTCTATGATGTAACTCATATTCACTAAGTGGTTAGACCATAAACTTTAAGTTATTTATTTTTTGAATTATGTATTATTTACCAATCGACTTACTGATATAAGCAGTATGAATTTTCAGTCGATGACCTCATGGCAATAATTTGAATGTTTTGATGGGAATGTATATCAATGGATTCAAGAAAAAAACGTAAAGGTTTCGTATATTTAAAGAATTTTACATAAAAATTTCGAAATGGAGGTTTATATTAATATCAACTGATAGTAGAGTAGTTCATGTGAAGGAGGTATTTTTAGACTTATTTAATTTAAATAGCTGTCTGAACTCAGTAGCTAATTGGGTTGTGTTAGCGTTTAAAGTTCAATGTATTGGATTGAAATCCCTAAGTGCATATCAACTTTGGGATGCATGTAAATGCAACTGACGAGTCCCAGTTACAAAAAAAAGCGTGCAAAATGGACTCCTGCTGACCATATTCTATCTGTTCTATATTTTTGAAAAAAAAAAGCTAAATAAACTTATGTTTCTATTATCCAAGTAGGTACTTCCTAATTTAAATATTCATGTTAGTTCGAATTCTATTTTGCATTTCTCACCAATATGGTATAGTAAGTTAGTAGCATTGGTAGTTAAAGCACTAGACTTACGTTCATTGTGTTACAGATTTGAACAATAGCTTAATCTACTTGAATTTGATCAGTTGAATAGTATCACTTAACTTTACAGAATAAACTGGATAACTTAAAATCGTTTTTTTAATTCTCTTGTATTTGTTAAATGAATAATTCCATCGCATTATAAATGCATTGATTATCATTATCCCTAACATGTTTAAACAAGCTATACTATCATAGTGAACATTTACAATTTTCTTTTAATGTTTCTCATTAAAATAGTTTATTAATAATATTAAAATGTATTGAATAGCATATTCAAAAGTAAATAGAACCCATCTGTTTATCCTTGAACTATTTGAAATTGCTTACAATATCTAGCTGAATATATATTCCACAAAGAAAGAGAGGTGTACGCCTGAACATCATACCTTTCACTGTAAAAGATTTAACTGCTTATAATATTTTAATGTGAACTATATATATAGTAGTAGTAGGATTGCTTACAGATGGTATTGTTTCTTTTCTTTCTACGTATTCAGACCTTATTAAATAGTCTTTAGAAAATTCTTTCTGGTTTTCCTTGCTTTTATAAGATTTTTCCATGTAGAGATTATTATTATATTTTCCTTATTGTGGGCTTTGATTTTCCTTCATCTTTAGTTACTATTCCAAAAATCGTGTGAAATACTTTTTGAGGCATAGACCGTTACAACCTACTGAGGTTAGTTTTAATGATACAATGTTTTTTACCTTATGGTAGCTTTTGTTTACTCGTTCAATTTATTTTTAACTAGGACACCTTTAATTTACAGCGAATTTAGTTGGAGGGTTTTTATAGATAGATCGTGGGGGGAGATTTGTATCTCAGGTGAATGATTTTGGTCGGGTCTCGTTCTCTGATTTAGACGGTTTAATCGTGAAGTTTTCATTTTTCTTTTGAATGACATCAGCTCCAACTTGGCTTGACTTGTACTTAATATTTTCACAAATTGGTGTCAGATTATCACTGGAATCCAGGGTGTAATAAATAGCTGTCTCGTGCTGGCATAGAACTCAATATTACGCATCTATGACTTTACCAAGGATCGGATCCAGGGTGTTCAGGTCTTACTGCAAACTACTGGGTCGAAATCCAATAGTACAATCTCAACCTTAATCAATTTCCTATGTATTGTGACAGGCACTCACTACCATTGGTGTCAATTGTCCAGGACTCTGATTTTTAATGACACATCAACTAAGGTCTATTTGTCACATGAATACTACCTACAAACACAAAATATGCTCATAATAGCAGTTAGGAAGATTTTTGGTGCAGTCGTTTTGCCCATTTCATTAGATACACACATTTCTCGTAGACATCATATCAGTGTTATGGGATGATGGCTGTACTATTACACGAATCATTGAACTCAGCATTTATTAAGTGACCTGAAAGAAAGTCTTGTTTAATCCCTGATGTGGTCATGAATATGCACTACTAAAAATTTACAAACTGGGACTAGAAATCTGTTCGGCGCTGCTTATTTTTCGATAGTTTTCCCAGTAAATTTACCATTAAACGATGTTTTACAGAATAACAAGTTATGAATTACGATAAATCACTAACTTCGTTAAATCTAATCATGATATAAACATGATAAATCATACAGAGAGATGAAATTTGGTATTTATTTATACATTTGAATGTAGCTTTCATTAGAAACAATTGATTTATTTTAAAGAATCACTGATAATCGGAAAATACTGGACAATGGTTTCATCTTAGTATACTCTGCTTGTGGCTAGAGATTTAGGATGTGCGTCTTTTGTTCTATTCACAATTTATTAGGTGGATGCACCTTCCATTCAAGTCTTGATTTTCACATTAAGACCCTTACTTTTACATTTACAGTGGAAAAGTGCGAAAATTTGCTAATTGTTTCGTCTTATTCATACAATTAATTTCTTTTCCCAAAGTAAGAAAAATAATATTTACAGAATATGATTGGCGGCCTGCTTGTAAATATCTGGACTACCTGTTCCTGCCATCTAGATATTTCAACAAGTTGTTTGTTTTAACACATCATGATGTCTATTAATCACATAACCTAATCAGGTGCGTTTGTGAAAAGTTTACGACCTTTCTCTGTACAAGTTACAAAAAAGTACAATCAGTGGTTGTTAACAATATGAATTGAAAGGAATGAACGTTATTCAGATGTTGATTCCCGAGATTGCTAACATCTATCTGGCAATCACTCAATATTTATCACCAGGATCGATCAAGAAATAAGAAACGGAAACTAGTTTAAATACTTTGTTTTGACAACTCTATATTTTATCAAAAATATAATATTAAATAAAGCCATTCATAAAATAAATGATAATAATGCATTAGATTTCATTGCTTTCTCTTCAACTACATACGAGTTAATCATGTTTCGTTACTTCTAATTATTAATTAATTACGAATAAGTTGTGTATTATATGAAAGAAGTTAACAATTCAAAGTTTAAAAAGGCCGGGTTTTTTGCACAATCCTTTAACGTAATAGTCCTAGAATTTTATTATTATTTCGCATTATAACAAAATTCTTAGAAGTGGACTTGTAAGGTCAACTCACTAAATTATAATTACATTTAGTCTAGACAAATAGGGTCAAAATGTTACCAAGGCATTTGAAGGTTAACTAACTCACTCTTTTTTAAAAATGAGGTCAAGTTTAGGCTTTATAATTATTATAGATTTTGGGGATAAAAACAAGGTGGAAATTAGTCTATTTATTGATTATTTTCTTTTAAATTGAGATCATCAACTGATCAATGTCAGACGACCAATTACATCTAGTATGAGACTACTCAACAGTGCTCATCCACAATCCCGCGTTCAGGACTTGAATCCAGGGCCTTCGATCTATGAAAAAATTCATTAAAACCATGTTATGACCCATGTTGAGTAGATAGTGTACTATTGAGCTCCGTAAAGAGCTTTCTTCTCCAATGTGTCGGATTTTTCGAATGTGCTCATTAAACCTTTAATTTTTAACTTTTTCCATATAATACACAACTTATTCGTAGTTAATTAATAATTTATCTTATAATATTATATTGTTAATTAGTAATAACTAAACATCATTAACTTGTATGTAGCTGAAGAGAAAGCAATGAAATTGAATGCATTAATCATATCCTGTAAATATTATTGTTCTTACTTCCCTTCATCATGGCAGGTTGTATTGGGTAAAATATTTAGCTTTCAGTTAGCAGATCTTATATAGGAATGTGACTCTATTCACTTTGGTTTTAGGCAGTCAGATAGTATCTTAATGCATACTTGATAAATGAATTAGATTAATTGAAAAGTTATCGATTCGTGTATAACATGGTGTTGATAAAAAACGCCAATGAATTTCCGAATATGACTATTTACTTGTCATATAATTGGTGCGACCAATCTGTACTCAATTAAAACTGTACGATTCAATACATTAAATGGAGATAATGTTGTTAGTTTGTGTAGATTGATACTTCACGTAGAAAGATTCCATAATCTTCACAAATGCATTAAACTTGTAAGTATCGTCTTTTAGTATCTTAAATCATAAGTTATGTTGACTAAAAAATAGTCCATTTTTTATCGCTAATAGTATTTCAACAGTTGTATAAGTGATGTTTTATAATACAATTGACGAGGTAGTGAATGTTTATCGACTCAGACAATCGGGATATGTATTATGTATACTCATTCATGGACCACCACTGCGCGCGATAATAACTGATGTGGGATTAAGTTGTAAGAAATGTAGAAGCGTGCAAACTAAGCAATGACCTTGGATCATGACGACACGAACTATTGAACTGAGTCATATAGGTAGGTGTAGATTATCTAGCTGTGATCTGCGTGAATATCGCAACTAATAGTTAAAGACTTCAGGTTACATGGCTCAAAATTCTTTGGAATGGCGCAAGTGTATTCACTCCTTGTCTTCCTTTAGATCCTAAGTCTCTGAATTCCTCATTATTTCACTAATTTATATTTTCTCGAATTGTGTCATGGATGCCTAATTTTTTCTATTACCATTAGTACTAGTTGTAACTATACTATTTTGGAATTTTCCCTTATAATTTCATCTCGTTGTGTATAAAGGGTATACCAACTTAAACTATGCATGATTTTACGTTGGATTTGATTCAGTGACTGACTGATGTTGGAAAAGTTGATCTTTTAACTTGAAAATCTCAGTTTAACTCGTTTATTTTTGTTGTTTCAATTTTAATTTTTTCGGTTCTAGAAAAAAGATGGTCGTCTTGTCACTAATACAGAAGAAACTCGTTATTGTATTGCAGAGCCGATGCCAAATATCATTCCTATTATGCCAGTAGATAGAGTGGAAATTGTAAGTTAATTATTTCTCTTGCCCATAAAAAGTTTATATCACGAGATATGATAGCAATTGTAAAAAGATTGTTAGGTGTATAACACGGAATAGCTATTCCATCTTTATTATTTATGGCCTCCTTTATTGTGGGTATTTATGATCATGTCCGGGGTCGAATCGATGAACTAATTAAATATAAAAGTGTATATAAATCAATAGAGACAATTCCAATCAAAAAGTTCGACAACCGAATTTCTAGTGTAATGAACGAGGTGGGGACAAACGATTGTTCTCTAATTCAAAATTACAGAATATCTTGGTGAGATATGAGAACCATACACTGCTTACTTCATTTGAAAATTTCCATCATTTGTCCTTCACAGTCTGTATAATTCTTCCAGTTCAAAATTCCTTTCTATGTTCTCTTCTATTTTCTTCAACTCGATCCTCTTAGCCCTCTGCTGCCAGGTTTCTTACATACTACTTATGTCGACAGATATAAGCTAATAAATAGAATACGAATATCAAAACAATATTGATTGCGAATGAAATTCAGTGAACTAGTGCTTACTCGATTCTACGTTAGGCCGAAACTACACAAAACAAACATTCCCCTGCGTCCAATTTTCCCGGAACCCCAACATACAATTTATCGATAGAAATTTCAAGAATATTGTAACATTTAGTAGATTCATCAAGTTACTCCATTAAATCTCCCATTAAATTCTTGGATAAGATAAACGAAATTCAAATCAACAATGACAAACTGAAGATATCCTTTGACGTAATGGCCTTATTCATCTCAATCGAACCAAGCTTAGCAAAGAAAACTCTATCTGTCTTCCTACTCAATGAAAAATCTCCAAAAGTACACGAAGCTCTAAAATTAAAGTCTACTAGAACTCATCGATGTATGTTTAACAACATGTTTTCAATTCAACAATAAAATCTTCAAACAGACCAAAGGATCACCAATATCAGAACTTATTACATAAGCAGTGATATGGAGATTGAAAGCCTCGATTTTACCAGTTTAATCTGGCACTTTCTTCATTAATTATCAATGATTTCTTTTTTTCATTTGATACGTATTGCTTTTTATCATAGTTGATCGTAATACTACCAGGATTTCCTTATTTATCACTAGTATAGATCCGATCCAATTAACACAAGAGCACACTTACAACTGATTGGTCGCTGAATAGTGAACGGTGTTGTGTCAAGTCCTTCTTAGTACTGATTGAATTCTATCGATTAAGTTGCAATGTGGCCACTAGTATAAACGATTCAAAATCGCATGCATTATGTTAAGATGATAGTTGCAGGTAATCGACTGTAAACTCTGAACAACGGATATGAATCGACCAGTAAGCATGAGTTCTCTCAAGATTACAAGTACATTTTGCTAACAAGTGTCATATAGTACAAAACCTAAATCTGGGGTTTCTTGTCAACTACCTTCAACCGCCACCTTGTGAGAGCATGTTTCGCATATTGTTTTCTTTAAGTCCAATAAAATTTATATCAAATCAGTGTCATTTAATTTTGGTATTATCCTACTCTTTTTTTGCATACATCTTGGAATATTTGACATTTAGCGTATGTTAAGTCAAACAGAGTGGGCTAATAAACAAATTCAAGGGATTATACAAGCATTGCATGCTGACTTAATCTCAGCCAAATCACAAGACGCTAATTTATCTCAATATATTGGTAAACTTGTCTCATCTATTCAGTCACCTGTTAGTGGCGGTGTGCCAAAATTAGTGGTAAGTTCTGTTGGATTGTGTTTTTTTTAAAAAATTATTCACTTATTTAGAATCTGATCTTTTGATAATGTTTATTTAGCGATTAGACTGTATATTTCGATAATGTAATAAGAAGACGAAAGGTATCAGAATTATATGATATATTAGCGCAATAGATTTCGACCAATCTGATCACATATATACTTATTAAGAGCATTTATATTTAAAAATAAAAGGTCAACTAGACAGGAAACGGGGTAAGAGGAGATAAGGATAATAATAAGAGTAATAATACTGTGAACACAATTTGAAACCTAATCACTTTGGATAATAAGTCAATATTACCAGGGTAGGTTTATGGTAAGAACAAACTGTTTTTGAACACACAAAGGGGGTTTGAATTTTCGTATGGCTAAGGCTTCAATAAACCTTAGTATACGTCCTTTTACACTTTTATCCAACACAACAAAAGCCGAGTTTAGAACAATCTTATGGCCTATTTCAATTATATGTTTAGCAATAGAGGATGAGGATGTTTATTCTCTACTCTTATTGGGTCACTTGATTGTATTTGTTTCTGCAACCATTTTGGTACATGTTCACACACCCTAATTTTGAGATCACGATTGTGTGATTGGATTGTTTGAAATCTATTGCGCTAATATATCACATAATTCTGATAACCTTCGTCTTATTACATTATCGAAATTTGTCAAAGGGACTAATTGCTTTGGACTGTATATGTCTGAAATATATACGATTGGAATTGTTCCGTGTACTGGACGTAACTAAACCTTAACATGCCTAAAATTCCATTGCTTTAACAGATAACATTGTTTTATTCAATTATATGGTTTATTTTCACCATTTTAATAACAATAATTGTGGATTTATAGCTATAGAGTTTGATAATGAAGTTTATTGAAAACAATTATTCTCTCCAATATTTTTTGTTCTGTTTATATCGACTATTATGAATTTAATATCAGATGAAGACATGCGATATCGACTGATTTATAAAAATAAAAAAACGGCTAAAAGTCACCTGTCAATCAGTTACAAACAAAATAAGATCTCTTCAAATAGCCACTACACTTCACATCATAATACTAAACGGTAATAAATAGTATGAAGAGCGAATAAATCTAAATAATACTAGGATTAGTAGCGGTAGTGTAGTGGATGCTACTCACAAGAATGTCTGTAAGTTGTTTGTAGCGGAACTTGGAGTCAAAGTTGCAACAGTTGTCAGACGGAGTGAAGATTTCCAATGCAACGACGTCGTTGTCATATATATAACACTGATGCATGAAGACCGTAACTAACTGGATAGTTTGAACTACACAGTAATGTGGGAAAATGTAAACCAAATTTATTGTATAGGATTCTTAAGATCCATCATAATGTTACTGAATGTATTCATTTATTCATCTTTTTTAGTTGTTCATATTTTATTGGCTTATACTCATTTTGCTCTTTTTTCCCTAATTTAATAATACTTTTTACGCTTTTTCTCTCTTACAAATTTTTCCACATTCCGTAATTTTCTGTTTATTCACCATTATTATTATTTGATAACCTTTTAAGAGTTATTTTGATAATTTTATCTCTCTGTGCTAGTTATATAGAAACTTGAACCGATATATGTTTGCGTCAAGTTCTACGTCCAGTATTATTGATTGACTGACTATTTTTATTCAGTTTAATAAAGTGAAGATTTTATCGGATTTCTTCCTCAATATTCTAAACTGTCATTTTTTTCCTGCTTATCATTTAATACTTCAAAATTAGCTTTACTACTTGAGAGTTAAGTTTTATATTCATTATTGTTCTTCAGAGTAATAATTGGGATCTTTTCTACTGTCAAATCAACTTATATTCTGTAATCAGTGTTCTAAGCTGATGTGATGCTTTTGTAAAAGTTTCTTGAACAGTTATTGAGTTGTTGTGTCTCTTTATGTGCTATGTATGGTCAGTCCCTATATTACTAATCTTTTCTACTACTTCTACTGTTCTGGGTTTTTATCTGACTGTGCTAATGTTAATGTGTGGCAACCTGAACCAGTCAACCAATAGCAACGTAGATCCTGTTCGTATGTACAGGCCAAATCCCAAAATAGTAGAGGTCGTAACAGCATAATTGGTAATAGGAAAGATTAGGCATCGAAGATACGACTTGAAAAGAAAATACGAATTGGCAAAATAAAAATAAAACAGTTATGATGAATTTAGAATTTCAGAACTTGATGGAAGACAACTACCGGATGCACCTGTGCCATTGCAAAAGATTTTGAGCCATGTCAATCAAGGTCTCTAACCACTGGTTACGATAATCATGCAGACCCCAACCAGGTAGTCTACATTTATTAACATCACTAATTCCAATTGTCACTGACTTCATTAACTGATACCATGTTTTGATTTCGCCGAAGCACATGTGTCGGGTTCTATGTTGCATATAAACTGACTAGCTGACTGATGAATTATTTGATTGACAAATAATTAGAAACGATATTTATTAGGAAATCTTTACTATTTGTGAGAAAAAATGACGGAATTTTTAATATGATATTTGTGATCTTACGATATTTACAAGGAACATTTCAGTAGATAAATATTTTACTATAAATTACAAATTCATTTGAGCTCTTTCTAAGTCACTTATGATGTCATGAAGTTTCTACTTTGACAATATTTCTGTTGGGACATTCAGGAAAATATCCCAAAAAATTATCCTGTTAAGGTTAATGCTATCCTTGGACGTGAAATGGTATCATCTTATTGGTCAATATTTATTTAACGTGTCATTTTCCTACCGGCCATTATTGTACAATGTTATTTTCTATTTTATGGGACGTTGTGGTCTGCTTGACTGGTATATAAACAAAGTATGTTGAAATATAATGATTCATAAATCTGAGGCTGAAACTTGTGTTCTGGACTCAACTGGCTGGGTTAGATAGGGAAGCGAGACCAATCAGAGCCCTAGGTCGTTCTACGTGTTTGTGCGTCTTTGGTCCGATCAATAATTCGCTACCCTTAATCAGATCATTTTCAGTTATAACAATTTCATATCCACGTTAAGCGAACATCGACGATTACATTCCAATACTTTTTCAAAAAAATGTACTGTGTTACATAATCGGAAAATTACTTCACAAATCACCAATATTAGTGAGATAATTACGTTTACTTAATCCTTATTAGGTTTGCCTATTAGTTATATAAATAGACCATACTGCGACTTTTTGTATATAGTTAGCTGACTCTCGTTCTTGTATAATAAAAGATATGTGGATAACTGACTTTTTATCTAGTACAGTTTGTTTCTACTGATCATTCAACTGTTATTAGGATATAGAGCAAACAAGACTGGCACCATCATTTTTGTGCTCTTTTAAATCAATGAATCTATTTCCGAAACTTCCAATCTTTTTTACACACACAGACCGACAAATAGAAAATTTATGTTACTTTAAAGAATGAAATAGATTTCTCAGTTTTTTACCACTACCATCTCGTCATCATCAGTATTTCTATTTTCATACTTATTAATTTTAAAATCTTTTATAGAAAGACGTTGAGCTATCCGATGATCCACGACAAGAAAAATGTTTCTCTCAATTGGCTGACAGTGTTTTAGAATTATTGGAATTACAATTAACATTTCTGAAATTTTGGTATGTAAACGATCCACCACCACCGCCTCCAGCATCTCATCGTCTAGCTGCTATGTATAATGCTGATATGATTGGTAATGTAACCAGTTCTACTGTTGGAGGAATTACAGGTAGTGGTAACTATCTTTTGTATGAAATGATCGGTTACTATGAAGTACTGGTTCGTGATATGAGTAGAAAATTTGGCTTTTCTGTTGACCATTTAAATGCAGATCACCTTCGTTATGGTCCAATATCTACAGATCGTCAAAATAATATTATTAATTCTACTAGTAATGTTAATACTAATTTATTATCACCACTTCGTCGTAATTCACGTTCATCACAAAAGTAAGTTGCATGTTTCATTTTATTTATTAAACTTCTTATTCCTAGAAATTAATTTAGTGAAGGGATTTAGTTCTGAAATGTAGTTTTTTCTTTTCGATGTTGAAGTCTAGTAAATCCACGACACAATCGATTGGTCAGCTGCAATCAATTTTGACCTGGGATAAATATACTTTAGCCTAGGCTCCTAATTCACATCTGTATGAGATGAAATTGACAAGATAAATAATAAAATAATCATTGTAGTAATGGTAATGAAAAAGATTAGACACCGAGATTAGTGTTTGAAAGTACTGAATGAAAAGCTCTATTTGATGGAAGACAAAGAGTGAATGCGTCTGAACCACTTTGACCGATTCTAAAGCCATGTCACTCAATGTCTTCAACCACTGATCTCTATTATAGTGTGAACTCTCACCACGTGGTTTGTACCTACCAACATGGCTCAGATCAACAGTTAATTATTCCGTGGATTTATTCTACGTTTTAGTTTGGTCACTCCTAACTTTATTTCAACCTACTGTTACACCGCCCTTGTGAGTTAGGCGGTGGGCGGGCGTACATAAAACATATATCAATCACCTCAGTTGATTGTGATTCACAAATTCCCTAACCAGTTCTTATTTTTCAAAAATATCGTATGAATAACTATAGCATTGATTACTTGGTCGTTCTATGGTATCCGAATAATTCTTTGAAAGAACTGATGATAAAACACCTATAATCTACACATATCTCATACTTTCAGAGACTATGTTTCACAACCATAGAATGATGCACAATGAACTTACTGCTCAATATACTCGCCACTTGGTTGGCAGATATACATGATCTACACCACAGGCGATAGAAGTTAGTTTAATTAGACACCAACTCAACAGTGCTGATGAGACTTCTAGTACAAGTGGTTTATATGTTCAACTTCTTTACTCACTATGATCAATTTAGATGATGATATAAACCAGTTTGAAACAATGTTTTGCATTTAGATGGAGCAAAACACATTTCGAACATTCTCGCATTGTTACCCAAGGTAATCAAAAGACCCTACATTATGTTACGGTCTTTATCAAATAGGATTCTTCGGTTTATCGATTTGCGAGGTGTCACTAATGATTCCTTGAAACCTAATCATTCGAGATTGTCCACATATTTTAATCTTAGTCAACCATTGTCTACTGAACCATCCTACAGTCACTGACGAAGTCTTGTGTGCAGCATGAAGATTATGGAGTGATGAACTGTAATGAGTTGAATAGGTATATATTCTTGCTAAGTCATAATTTGCTCATTTCTTTATTCCTGTTTAAGAACATGTAAACTCTTAAACCATGTCGTTTACATGCTTCAAATAGATAGGACAACCTATTAATTGAATTAATTAACAGGTAAATATATATATAATTTCTTCAGTATATATTGATACTGAAATTGACTAAACTTTGTTGCAATATATATCATTATCAACACTACTTGTTATTGTCTTCGGATGTAATGCTTCTTCACTATAACTCCAGACTTGTAGTTTAATTATTGGGATCCCTTAATAACATGATATATTTCTTAGAGTTACTATTTTTTCAGACTATAGGATTCATATACCGTCTTTAAGTAAAAAAATATCAAATCTTATAGTACCAGTAAACATGCTAATGTTCTAGTTACTCACTATTAATTATTGTATATTCTGTTAATTACTATATCGGTCAAGTTTAATGTTAGTACACTGTCGAGATTTATTCAATCCTATGAAATTGAACTATATATTCTTAAGTCGGTTGAACTGCTGCTATTCGATGCTTTATTCGTCTGTTTAACCATATTGTGACGTTTTCCGTTAATAAAATAGCCAGCCATAATCTATATCAGAGCTGGATAGTTTTTACTATTTACTAATGATGATTGCTTGCTTATCAACACATACATGCAAGTCAATCTGCTTTAGAATCTACGAAAAGTGTTTTATTGTCTTTCCTTATCTTAATTTCGACGATTGATTTCTAAAATCCTGTACCAAGTACAATTCTACATGCTTAACTTATGAATTGCGTATTGTATTCGAGTCCTAGTAATACTACTTACCACTCAACGGTTCAAGTTAAAATTAATTGAGTTTAAGGTTTAAATCTACGACCTTGTAGTTTGAAAAACGGATACTTCACTACCCATTTACCAATCGCTACGCTTTACTTTCTACACCATTCAATTCGCTTTCCCCAAACTGTGTTTAGATTCCTGATTATTTTGGTGATCACTAGCTTTACCCTACTACATAGTTGATATATTGCATGCAACTCTTAGTGTAGGCAAGAGATAACATTTTCATCGTTTGAATTCTGAGATGTTGATGTTTTACTAAAAGATTTATTTGTTGACTTTGAATACGCAGATGATATAGTTTTGTTTGGTGAAGACTGAAAACAATACAACCATGTCTGAGATACGATTATCTTCTAAATGTAAAACGTTTCTTGAGGATTAGCTTGCACTACGGGATTTGAATCGACCACTGCATCTCTGTGCTAATGTGGTGTGGCAACTCGAACTGATGTACGTACGTGCGAAGTTCTAAGTTGTTACTGACTGACTGACTGAGCTTGCATCAGCACCAGGATTAATGGTAGGAAGTGAAGTAGTTGAACGCATCATCCTATTTACTTATCTTAGGAGTCTCATCAGTCCTGATGGTCTAGTATCTGACAAAGTCTCGGCATGGACCCAGAAAGCTAGATTGGTTTTTGCCGACTTCTGTCACTTGCGGCTTAGGTGAGATATCCGTCTTCCAACCAAAGGGCGAGTATATTGTGCAGCAATCTGCGAATGTCATAACGTGGATGTAATGCTCATAGCAATATAATTTGATGAGTGAGTAATATAATTGCGTATTTGCCATAATTTTATGTCGATATGAATACTGATAATAATTCCACTACGATAATAATAATAATAATGATAATGGGATATTTCACGAAATAGATAGATGAAAAGAGTTGATACACGGACAAAGAACAGATAATACAATACGATTTGTTTATGTGCATGTCCTTGATGTACTAGCTTCTCTATTTGAATCGACTCAGATTTGATTGTATGATGATGTCAACGAAATATACATGCCGGCTACCCTCGTATAATTCACATTAGGGAATAACGGAATGAATGTATCAAGCACGAGAATGAATTTTGGATAAATATATTCCATAAATCCGTTGTCCCAGACAGACAGTGAGACAGATGGAGCGGAGAAGCAGACTGGAGAAGGCAAACATACCAATTCTTTATACCACTCATTACAAGAGTTAATATAGTACAAAATAGATAATGGGTAGTGTTGCAGAGACAGACATTGAATGAAATAACAAGTGATAGATAAACACACAAGCATACACAAGGCGCATAAGCATAGAGATACAAGGAAATAAAAAGACATTTATGTGTCCTGAAGGTTACACTTTCCTATGAAAACAAAAGTTACCACGCAGGTAAAAATAACTCAATGTCATATGCTGTTTGAGTTATTTAAATCTTTTCAAAAGCTAGGATGAATCATGTGTGCATTGGCCTTAGGCACTACAATTGTAACCGGTACTTCAAATTTTTAATGACAGCTCGGAATCATTCTCATTAGCGCACGTATATCCATTCTTTGTCTTCCCCCAAGTACTGAACTTCAGAACTCTCCATAATTTTTTATTTCACTAATTTATATTCTCTTTTCGAGTCGTATCTTCGATGTCTAATCTTTCCAATTACTAATCGATACTTATACTACCTCTACTACTCTGGAATTAGGCCTAACAATTTGATCTCTCAGTGCTAATGAGGTATGGCAACTTGGATAGATGTACATACGTACAGGTTCTACGTTGGGATTGTCTGACTGACTGATTTAATCACTGCTTGAGCGTTATATTAAACATTAGTTTAATTTAATAGTAATATGTTATATCTTCATGTAAATCATGTATTTAGCATTGTGAATACTGGTGTTGCGACAATTGCTCAATCAACTGTCCCAAGAATTTTCTCGAAACCTGATCATTCTGGATCTGATCATGGATCGTCGATTCGTTCGTTGCAGAGAACTTTTCAAACGGTAATTTTAATCTACTTATTTGTATCATTATTTTAATTGTAACATTCTCAATATAATCATACCACTCTTTGGAAGTTCATTTTACTTAGATCATTTTTTATCTCTAAAAAAATACACCATAAACCAATGTGTTTAAACTGAACAAGGTATACAAAGTCGAATTTCAATTACGAACGTGTTTATTTGAATCTTCGGTTTGTAAATGATTTGTTCAATTTTATGGAAATGGATTTGGTTGAAGTCACTAGTCCCAAATCCAATGACTGAATAATATAATAGTTACCACAACTCTTTAAATTCCCTTGTGTTCGGTAAAGTGTGTGTGTGGATGGGTTGTAGGTATAGATTGTTAAAATGTCTTATGTTAGTGTTGTTTAGTACTCTGTGTTTGTCAATCATCTTACTGTTGTCATTCAGTTCACTAAAGTAGTTTACACTTAAAAGAAAAAGAAGAAAATTACTTTATAAACGGAGATGGAAGGTGAATAGCAGTGTAATCCAGGACAGGCGTTTCGTCCTGTTTTAGAGTCGGCAACTGAATATACCTGCATCCCAGGGTTTATGTTCACCCCGGGATTCGAACCCTGTACACTTGTTTCTAACGCCATTACGTCATCTATTTGGCTACTGAGTCCAGATATCTAATAGCTTATGCAATGGGTTGAAGTTTAATTTATTTGTTTTGGTTGTTTGAATCTTCTCATTTACCAATCGGGGTCCCAAACGTCAATGTGAAAATTCAAACAGCCAATACAAATGCATGAAATGTTTGCTCTGTTGACAGAGTCCCTAAAAAGTATTTCTAATTGTGTATTGTAAAGTTTTTTTACTATAAATCGACTGAAACTTTAAAACATTGACCATTGAATTAAGAATGCTGATATTATGTGCACTTACCTGGGGGACAGCTAAAACTTCTGTGTTTTATTCGCAAGGTAGTATAAAAGTATTATGCTTAACTTACAGAGAACTAATAAATGTTTAATTGTACAAGTTTGGGATTCAGCTTGTTAATTTTATCTTCCTGTGCTAAAGTGGTGTAGCAACTTGAAACGAAACACATGCGTGCCAGATTCTATGCTGCACTATATTGGTTTTGTTCTTGTGTTTCTGTTAATTTCTTTCTGAATCACTTTGTTGCATATGATTTCTTTAAATAGTTCTTTTCGTTGTTTATGTAAATTAATCTAAAAATGGATCCTTATTCATGTATCGCGGCAATTCTCTTAGGATGCACACATAGCAACAGAGATTGACCAGTTTCAATCCCTAATATTAAAACAACGTTTTCTGTAGCTTTTCTACGACCAGTAAGACGCAGATAAATACATGCTCCAAATAGAGCATGATATGAGTTTTAACATGTGCTCCAGAATGATCAACAGTTCTTTAGAGCCTCTCCAACTATAGTTAATGACAATGTGGTCTTTCCGAGTCCATCGATGTGTCGATTGTGAGGGTTATTATTTCAGACGATGTTCCTCCTTGTGTTTATAGTTGGTGTTTGCTAGAAATAAACAATCATCTGAGTATCGGTGCAGCAGATGGTTGTCCTTTATCTGTTCTCTGAGCCGCGACACCATTTGGTTTAGTCTACTTATTTGAGTATTACAATTACCTGCCACTATTACTACATCATATCGTTTAGCTTTTTGAAAGTTGGATAGCTTCCCGAAAAATTCATCGTTAACTTCATCTGAGCTGCAGCTAGTGGAAGCGTAGGTAGAGACAACGAGAGGATGACGAAGTATGTCCTTATCTTTTCGATTTCTTGCTATCCCGTTTAGTCGGATAGCGCACAGGTAGTTTTCTATTGGAGTTCAGTCTGACATTCTGATCTGCTTTTGCTTAATTCTACAACTACACTAGTGAGGTAGTTAGAAGTAGCAGTGAGGGCTCATGATAATCGAAGGGTAAATTGTGCCGGTTTTCCATATTGACAAAGCGAGGTGAAATGAATGAATGTATTTGAGTGGTTGTTATTTTGCAGTTGCCCATACCGTGAAAAAGTAATTCTTGTTGACGGACCTGAAAAAGAAGCTGAATTAGTGATAGTCCTAGCAACCTGGGAGTGTGAACACAGAGCCCAAGGAAAAACTTCTTAAGGCCAGTTGTGCACGGCCTTTTTATGGGAAGCTTTGATGTGTTAGCTCCGCACTTCAAAAGGCCGGTCGGGATAAAAACAACGGGAAAATGAAATCCTTGCTTATACAACGTAACTGCATAACGGTAGAACGTGTTAATGGTTATCTGAACTCAAAAGCTCAATGTATAAAGCGGTAAAAATCGAATCGGAAGTTTTTGTTTTTAAATCTCAATGTGAATATCAACACTATGATACATGTATATTCAGTTAATGAATCACATGTAGGATGTAACAGACCTCCTGAATTCCTCTACTAGCCACATACGAAATATATGGAAGTATACAAAGATTATTCTGAAATCATTCATTCTACCTAGTATATTAACACATCGAGTTTCGAAAATTCGTTATTTTTTGTTTGTTACGTTCTTCGGCTCGCAAGATTCCTCTAACGTCAATATAATTAGGTAATGATAATGAAATTAGTTAATAATACGAAAATTATCACACTTTATAAACATGATATTGTTCATATTTATCATTTGTTTATATAATACCTTGTCTATCCAACAGGAGTTATGTGAAATTGTTTATTTTGTTTTGTTTATTGTTAATTTCATTTGGAGTTTTTAAATCTCAGTAATTTACATCATTCGCTTCAAAGTATTTTGTGTGTTTATTGTTCAGTTTACTTGATTACTCGTTTTATTTACAGTACCATAACGTCCTTATCATTGTGCTTGTGTGTTAGGATTGAAGAAAAGATTTTTTGAATATATATATATATATATCGTATGGGGTGATTCAGTTGCACAATGGTTAATTCTAACAAGTATTGAACCTTTGACCACAGTAATTTTATGTACTGTTTCTAAAGAGTTATTATGTTTTAAATATATATTTTTAAAAAGTTTATAGTCTACTGAAAAATAATGGTAATAATAGTCAATTCATTCAATAATATCTATTTTAGTATGTAAGGTGATTTTCAGCGAAAAAAATACTATGACATGTTGTAATGAATTCCTCTTACCTGAGACGTAATCGACAAACAATGTGTTGAAATTCAGATGATATATTTATAGAGACTGGTCATTTTAAGAAAATTTACATCACTGATTGACTTTGACCTAGATAAGGTGGTTGTTCGGCACTAGTATATTATTCCAAAATCATCAGTAATCGAACTTAGGACCCTTAGGTCCCATCAAATTTGACCAATAAGTCGGAACCCGATACTATGAAAAAACACCTTCTTAGTATTTCCTGGTTTCTTTTTCAGATAGTTTTTGCGTTAAATCCAACCTATGATGCAGTCTATCTTCAATTTTACTATAAAATGATTTTGTAACAGTCGTTTACAGCTAGTTCACTTGTTGACTTAGAATATGCTGATGACATCGTTTTATTTGGTGAAGACACTGACAAAATGCAGAGTCTTCTGGCCACTCTAAGCAACAATGCAAGCATGTTCGGGATGCGATTCGCTCCCTCGAAATGCAAAATGTTGCTTCAGGATTGGGTTACATCGACACCCGAACTAGTGATAGGGAGTGAAGTAGTTGAGTGTGTCGACCGCTTCACTTATCTTGGAAGTCTCATCAGCCCTTGTGGTTTAGTGTGTGACGAAATCTCAGCACGGATACAGAAGGCTCGATTAGCTTTTGCCAACTTGCGTCATTTATGGCGTAGGCGAGATATCCGTCTATCAACCAAAGGACGTGTTTACTGCGCAGCAGTTCGTTCCGTCCTACTTTATGGGAGTGAAACATGGCCGGTAAGAGTAGAGGATATCCGTAGGTTACTAGTATTTGATCATAGGTGTCTTCGAAACATTGCTCATATATCATGGGACCATCGAGTAAGTAACACAGTTGTTAGGAAACGGGTACTAGGTAAGGATGGCAAATCAATTGATGACGTAGTGAAACTTCATCAGTTGAGATGGCTGGGACACGTGTTACGTATGCCCAACGACCGACTGCCTCGACGTGCTATGTTCAGTGGTATAGGAGTAGGTTGGAAGAAAGCTAGGAGCGGCCAAACCAAAACATGGCACAAGTCCATGAAGTCACTGACAAGTGAACTGAGTCATGTTGGTAGGTGTAGACTACCTGGTTGGTGACCGCGAGATGATAGCAACTGATGGTTAGAGACCCTGAATGACATGGCTCAAAATCGTTTGCAATGGCGCAGGTGCATCCACTCTCTGTGTTCTCCCAAATTCTAATCTTCTGAATTCTTCATGTCCCTTTTTTTCCTCTTTCCAAATTTCTTTCACTGGATTATACTCTTTAAATAACATCTCCAAACCCTAATCTTCCCGATTACTGCTTATACTCTTATTACCTCTACCACTACGGGATTTGAATAGACAACTGCATCTCTGTGCTAATGTGGTGTGGCAACTCGAACTGATGTACGTACGTACGAAGTTCTACGTTGTTACTGACTGACTGACTTACAGCTAGTTATTTTCAACCATAAATATTCTGGTTACACACTTACCACTTGGGACATCGCTGAAACAGCTTCACGAGGTCTGTGTATTCTGGAGTCGATTGTTCGTTACTTCTAACTTAGTTTGAATTCTTTTCAGTTTATGTGTATGATTTTTTCTTATAATTCCAACTCTTTTGATCATATTCAAGTTACAGAATAACGAAAGGTCATACATGTGATTTTTTTCAAGACTTGCTTCTATCTGGTAAGGAATCGTGGTAGAGTATAGTGATATCTGCAAGGAATATAACTCTCTGAGTTTAATCCGTAATGTGTCTCGATGACTATTGCTATTGCAAATGTCAAATATCTAATGAAACTTACTTTTTTTTAAAGAACAGTTTTATTCTGTCCCCTTTGTTTACTAGATTGGGAGTGGACGTACCCCTCTAGAATCGATAACGTATTCATCACCAATAAATAGTGAGTTAATTTTGGTTGACAGTTTTTGTCTGTTTTGTCTCGTTGTTTTGACTGTCAAAATGTTTATTCCATAATAATAATAATAATAATAATAATAATAATAATAATAATAATAATAATAATAATAATAATAATAATAATAAGTAGAATGATGTTTTGGTCGGATAATAACTGCCCACGAGACCATACCTATTGCCTTATTTCACTCACAGGTATTCGATAAACCATTCGATTGTCCAAAGGACTGATCAGATAGCTACATATTTGTATTATGACCCATAGGTAAAATATATTAGAAGTGCTGTTATTTATGTGTACTAAGGTGGAGTTCGGTGTCATATGAGCTAAAATGCACCTCGTTTATTGATTGGTAATTAACTAACTAGTCAAGAATGAAAGTACGGGTCGTTAAACAACCTCATTCAACTCTTATTGTAAATCGTAAGATTGGTTGTTTTGCCTGTAATCCTGATTTCCTAATTGACTACTGTTAAATTTAGATTACTCAACGGATCATGAACTCCGAATACAATCAAATTATTTTAATTCGACTGAAGATTTACTTGGGGACTTAGTTCTGATACTATAATCATGGGTTATTTATATGCGGTTGTATATGCCTTCGGAGTTCTTGAATTGTTTAGAAACCTTACCTAAATTATGAGTTAGATCTACCCAATTAAGTGATAAAGTAAATACATCAGCTTCTCTTGAAGTTGATCTAGCTTATCGAAAGATATTGATTTTCTGAACGCACTTTAGGCGTTCCTCTTACTTAGATATTGTTCAACTAATAATTGTTGGCAATTAACTATTTTACTTCCTGTAATCAAACTGAACATGTAGGAGCGACATTTTATACTTGATAGAGACTAGATGTAGATATTTCCATATTCTCCTTGAGTTATTTCCGAATGGTTTTGAACCTTTTGGAACTTCTACTCATATTTTATTTGGGTTTTTTGGCAGTCTCAGAAAGGTGAACGGTTCTTGAGTTTAGTGACTAGAAGCGTTTTCTTCACCAATAGATCTGTGTTCGAGTTTAAATTGAAACATTGTTTATTTTGTCTTCTCAACTGCGTGTTAAATTCAGAGTAGAGAGTCTTCAGCAGCTCCTATGCCTTCAAATAAAGTATCGCTTCCTCAAAGCCTTGTTTAATGTAGTCTGACTTTGCAATGTAACTTTGTTGCTACATCTACGTTTATGTACCTGACCCCTCAAACTGAAGTAAGTGATCCTGATAAGATCCCGTCGACCATGTTACAATGTGATCATTGGTCCAACAGATTGATTATTACGCTCTAGATATAAAAATCTTGTTTAGTGCCAGTTAATTAGCAACAGTTGGTAGGAAATCCTATTTTTACCTTGGTTTCGTGGTAGTTTGCGCTTGTTAGTTAGATATATCTATATTCTTACGGGCATTAATGCCCCTACCTAGTTCGTTATCTTACCACCCAATATCAATCAGAGATATTACAACCGAGCTATTCTTCTCTAGAATCATGTGTAACCTACTTTTTCATACCTATTATATACCATTTCAATTTATTAATCGTAAAATGAGAGTTTTATCGTTAAATTCATCTTCATTTTTATCGTCTATCATTACAGGATCCAACTCTTCCTTCAATATATTATCTTCAGATCCCCCAGCATTACCGGATCGTCCAGTATTAACAAAACCAACTCAAACGATAAATGTTTCTAGTGGTCGACCAACAACATTAAACACTACCAACAATAGTATTACCCCTATCACTAGTTCCATTAGTACTGTTGGTGATCATGATAATCCTGGTAGTCCACGCGGAAAAATCATTACAACACCGAATGATGATTCTCACACTACTCAACATCAAAATAATAGTAATAGCGTTGATTATAACGCAGATAACAGCAAAAAACAAATACACAATCCAATTGTAACTTCAAGATTTGAATCTAATCTCAATACAATAAGAAATAGATCACGTCCACTGCCTCCACTTCCACCTACACCGATTCGATCATCGTCGATTACACGAACGGAGAATTCAATCACTCATCATCATCAAGTGAAACAAATCAATCCTATAAGTAATAGTATAAATGGAATTATACTTAGTGGTAATGAAACAGCTCCTCCGTTACCTGAGCGGAAAGTAAGTTCTAATATGAAATGTTTTATTTGCTTGCGAATAGTCTCTTATCTGTTTGTTTGTTTAATTTATACACTATATAGCGTATGGAAGTACGATTTTAGTAAACATTTGTCAACTAATTGATTCATAATTTCAGAATGGCTGACTTCCCAACTCCTCATACCTAATCCGTCTAAATGTCAAGCTGTTAACTTTAGCATGAGACATGAATGGAATCTAAACACCATTTTGAGATCCCATAATGCTTCTACCATTGGAAACTCTTTGATAAACACAGTGTCGAAGGCCAATTATCTTGGTGTCACCTTTTCCTCTGATCTCTCTTGGTCTTTCCACGTTTTATTGTTATCGAAGAAGGTTTTCTGTCTGACTTACTACATAAAGAGATTGCATGCTCTGGGGATTACTCGTCATTTTCTCTTACAATTTGTCAATTCTTGCATATTACCTATTATTCTTGACTGTTCTCCATTATTCTTTCCCGAGCTTTTGAGAAAAGACTTTGCTGTATTGCGAAGAGTTCTGAAGGCACTTATCAAAGTGTGTGATCAATCTTTCCAGGTCATAATTAATATGGCTGTGGATAGACATTTAAAATCATGCAAACTCCTGGCAGGTGTTATTTTATCAGATACTAGCCATCCCCTTCACTCTTATCTTTCTCCTTGTATATCTTCTAGTAGAACGAGACATAATTACATTAAAATCCATGTACTCTAGAAAAAGTATATAAGTTCTATAATACCTTACGTAGCAAATATACTCTGTGACGAACAGGTTGTTAGAGTTAACCTAGTCAATAACCTACATTCTTAACATGTCTCTAATTTGAAAAGTTGCACAGTTTTTCGAGTTTTTTTCCTTTTTTATTTGTCACTGTTTTTTTGCGTAAGCAACTTGTTGAAATACCCTGTGCTGAGAATTCTATTTTGTACCAAAATATAACATTGAATAAAGCCATTAAAAAATTTTTTTAAATAGTAAAGAATTTCCACACACATACATACACTTTCATTCAATGAATTTCGCTTATATTCTAGCATTATAGTGAAATGCTCACAATTACTGAATTGCATACTTTTCATTGCTGTAAACTCAGTCCTAAAACAAAACAAATAAAATCCGTTAACTCTTTTACATTTTACTCATTTATTAAGCATCTTTTATGTTTACCTTTGATATGATACCTAATTAAATCAGCTGAATATATCTCTGATTATTTCGAAAAGTAATTGAAAATGAATTATTTTTGAATTACTACATACCTAATGTATCGTTGGAAGAAGAATTTTAGACGATTTCGATTGTTTAACTCTTTTTATGATATGTGTGTCGGGGAGATCCAAAGCGTTCATCGAAAACGCCCAGAAGGGCCCTGAAAACAGTGAGAAACATTTTATCTAATCAGCATTGAATAGAAGTCTCTCTAATACATCTAGAAAGTGAAGAGTCACGTATCACATTTCCGATTAGATGATTACCTATCCTGCTACAATGTTTAGTATGATTCCGGAATCTTCTAGAGACCCAAGGCCATCTGAAATACTGTAAACACCCTCTATTTTATGTACATAAACTAACCTTGTTGTGAAGCGTTCTTTTCACACTACTGGTTTTTTCTCTCGTGTTCAAGTTGTTGTGTAGATTTGTTCTGATACTATTCGAAGTGCTTAGGAAACCGATCCAAGTGTTCAATTAGAAGACTTATCGGTGTGGAATAAATGAACCTGAAGTCTCTGCCAGATATACTGAGTTTTGGATCAATAAGATTTAGCTTAAAGAATCCACTGAAGTTATTGAATGATATTCCTAATATGTCTTCTGTTTTTTTCTTCACTAAACTACATAAACATTTTTATAGCTTCTAAACTTGTATAAATTTCAAGTTCACTTATGACTATTTATATTTGACTTTCATCATTTAAGTTTCAAGCTGGATACCACACTACACTGTCTAGTTTACTATAAACAATTGGAAATGGTATCAGTAAACCTCACCGTTAATATTTTAAACTGAAATTTAAAGTATTACTTACGTCTGTTGCTCATCATAGAGTATAAGCCACCGATAAGGGATCTTCAATCAACTCTGTCCTGAGCACTCTCCTCTCTAACTGTTCCCAAGTTTTGTTCATTATTTTTATGTCTGCCTCCGATTCCCGGCTCAAGTTGTTCATTGATCTGCCGCTTTTCCTTTTACCTTGAGCAATTCAAAATACTAACCTTGCTAAAAACAAATTCTAACCAGAAAAAAAATTCAAAGTATACAAACTTATAATACGTACTAGTGACGATAGTGTTTAACTTGGTAAATAATTCGAAAACTTCCATTTAGAAACCATAATACCATTGAATGATTATCTGGAGGAATCATGAATTACCAAGAGTTAAGGAATTGTAGGCTGTCAAATTATGTTTCAATGACATCATCCTCACCTCAAGACATGGATCTGACAATTCGTGGCAGAGTCATTGTTACTCATAACTTGAAAGTTTCATTCAAGAATGAACTAAATGTCTATTTTTGGTTTTCATTGAATTTTCAGCTGATGTATTTTTTTGCTCTAATCGCCTTTGAACTAAATGTCTAAATGGGGAGTTTGATTATACTGACATCATCCTGTGATAAGAATCCAACTTCACACAATATTAGTCAGCTCTCCAGCATAATAAAACCAAGTAACGTGTCCATATCTAATATCAATCAAATCTCTCACATCACTGAAGGTCATCTAATAGGAAATATGATTTTTTTTTTAAGGAAAAGTCAGTATGGCTAGTAAGGTAAGGGTTGAGAAATAAGGATTAAGTTGTATGTTTAGTTATATTAAGGTCATTTGGAAAAATGGTGAGATTGTTAATGTCACACCACTCAAAAAGATAATAATGATGGAGAACTCTATATATATGACCATCTATCACGTGTATGCAGATTATTGACAGTAGAGAAGGTTATGACGAATACTAAATGTGGGTGGGGTGATTATTTGAGCTTGAAGGAGAAAAATTGACTAACAACCGGTTTAAAACCACAAACAATATATATTTATGTAGTTTTGCTATCTAGAATCTTGTTCAACACAATCCAACATAATAAGTATGTTTGTTTAGGTAATCTCTCACTTAGGATGATCTCGTTTTATCATTACATATAAATGAATAATGTTGAACTAGTTCAGAGTAAATACAAGTGTTATGAATACGATTGACTCTTATGAGGAATAACATTAAAACAGTACTTTTATATCAGCCTTATAATGAGTACGCTTCATTGTTATTATCGGGTGTTATGAAAATAGTCAATTTTAAGTTTTCTCAACACAAACCGACTTTGATTAGACAAAGAATAAAGACCAAAAAGAACACTGAACAGTTGTGTTGTCTTACTGCGTGACTCCTTAGCATTGTGAACTAATGACCTCACAAGAAGTTATTTCCTACTGAACCAATGTTATTCAGGTTAAGCGCTTGCTACAAGACCTGATGGTTCTGAATCCAATCTTTTATGGGGACGTGGATATTCACTGTTTATGAGTTTCATACTACAACAAAATACCTCTTTAGTACTTCCTTGTTTTCTATTGTTATTTAACCCAAATCGGTTGATAATGTAAAACTTGAGATAAGTTTTACGTTTAATTTTTTTAAAGTAAAATTCACCGATTCAACCTTTATTTTTATTTCATCATTTCAGAAGTCATTGAATTACTCAGCTATTCTTTCGCTATCGTTATTGTTATTTATTTATTTATTTTCTCGGTTTTGGTTTTAGACTAAAACATCTGGTAGTGTAGCGACTACACCAGTGACACCGACTCCAGGACGACAAACTCACGGTGTTGATGATTCTTCATCCTTTGATTTCTCTTGATCTACTTGTTTATTTTAATTTCATCATTATTGTGTACACAAAATTTATAATAAAATTCATTCAGTAATTCTCATTCTTAATGATTGTTCCCTAGTTTTGTTTATCGAATGTGATTACTCAATTTAACAATGATATTTATAAATATAATGTGATATAAAGCGCCTTATTGCCAACATCCGTTTTTTCCCTCTGTTTGCTCAAACTTACACACACACACACACGCACACACCCATACTTAATATATACATTTATCCTTCCGTATCAACATGTTCGTTTCTTTATGGTGCCTTATTTAAACCGTGTGTTATTAGTATGATTTTTGTTTTCTCTGTTCTGTTTACCTTTTTCCTCTGTTGTTATTTTATTGATTCAACGATTGATTTCTTGTTTGTTATTTCTATGATCATCTCTCAATTATTGACCATTGTGTTATTTTTGTAGTAGTCTGTCAGTGATTTAAATCTGTAAATTAATATTCACAATGTTCACCGTTAATTGTTTACTCAACACAACATATTCATTCCCTTATTATGATCAATCTGAAATAGTATTATGGTTTAATTGTCAGTTGCATTAAACTTCTTTCTTTCTGCCAACTTATTTTATTGTTGTTTCGATTCGAAACCCTTACATTGTCATTTCTTATTGTTTTTCTTTAACATCATATTGAGGAGTAGGCACTGATGAATTTGTTTAGAACCAATAATGATGAAACTAGTTCCAGCCTACAACAACAAATACTCTCGTTTATTTATTCACTTTTAATATGTATCAAGATTATTTCTCTGTTTATATTCATGATTGACGGACTAATCAATCAACAATCATCATATTATTCTGATATACAGATATTTCAGACTATTTTTCGCGCTTTCTTGCTCTCTCCTATTCTTCATCATCTTCGTTGATTGAATAAACTATCGGCCTACAAATGAACATTGATTACCTTCTTCATATTCATGTGTCTTTTTTTTTACAATGAAGCTTCTTGATTATAGTTTTTCTCTCTTGTACTAAAAGTAGTCGATCAGTTACTTATTTTTTGCAATTCAACTTGTATATTATTATCATTATTACGAGTAATTATCTATCGCTGATGTACTTTCTGTTAGACTTTTCTCATCTGTTTGTGTTAAATTGTTTGTAGATCTTTTCTTTTTCAACAAATCCAATTATGTAATTTATTCTTTTTTAATGACTACTGATGATCACAGTCTCTATTGTTTCGATATATATGCCATTTGATTGAAGTGATTGTTTTATCGTATAATATAGAAGATTGATCAGATTTTTTGTTTCTTTAATTGACCTGTCTGCTTGCCTCTATTTTTAAAAATAAAATGAAATTTTATGATATCTGTACATGCTTCTTAATGTGGTTAATTGTTCATTTTGTCTTTGTGGGATTTTTAAAAAGTTGTTTAAGGACAGATCTACGTTAATATGTTTGGTTTAATTATTTAAAGTGAATCAGTTAAGCTTGTTGATCGTTTCATTTATTTGGAAAGTTTCATTAGCACTAGTAGTCTGGTTACTAACACAAATACAGAAAAGTAACTTGATATTTTCTATTTTACACTAACAACCACGCATGAGAGATGTTCATCTACCTATTTAACGGTGAAGCTTGTTTGACGCCAGTCTTCTCTGTATTGGTTTGTGTCTATGAAACAGCTTTTGAAGATGTTAGATCAGAAATGTATTAAAACTAATCCTCGTGTAGAATAGAACTTCAGAGTTAATAGCATCGAGCTGGTAAGTAGAATGATAAAACCGATGATCTTTATTATATGAGTTTGTTGGAATATGCTTTACAGTTACCGAGTCATCGTTCACATTGACATTCAGGGCTAAAGACAGTGAGACCAAAACATGACATCAGTTAACGAAATCATCTGTTGAACTTAGTCATACCGTCAGGTTGTTACTACTTATTTGCGAACCTAAACGTTCGTACAAAGAGGCGCCAAAATGTATATCTGCCACACAGTAAAAATGAGATTTTGAAGAGATAGAGAAAGTAACGGGAGTAAAATACAAAATGAACAAGGATGAATAAAAATTGGTTTGTAAGTTTGAAATAATGATAATAGTAATAATAACGATAGTAGTAGGAGAATAAGTCTAGTTAAGAAACATACAATCAGAAAGAATTTCAGTTTAAAAAGTTATCCCCACTTTAATAAAGAAAATAAATAGAAGTCATAGTAGGGTCGCCTTTGGTTTCCATTCTGAATCATATCTGATAATGTCTCAAGCCACGTTTTGGACCAGTTCTAGGGTCCTAACCAGGGAGTTTTTGAAGGACCGATAAATCACAATTCTGTACAACTTATACCGCGACACTATGCCATGCACTGACCACCTCCACTTTTTCCAACCAGTCCCAGCGTCGGCAAATAATGCACGATATGAAATTCCCTGAAACAACATTCGTGGTACATGTCCAAGCCACCAAAGTTGGTTTTTCAAGATTGTGACACCATTTAAATTGTCGCTGTTTCCGAACACACGATGCCGAACCTCTGCATTACTAACATGGTGTTGCCACTGGATGTCAGCAATCCTTCGGAGACAACGATTATCGAACACAGAGAGTCGTCTAACGTCCTCAACTCAGAGAGGCCAGGTCTCGCAAGCATAGAATAAAACTGCTCTCACTAACGCATTGTAGACCCGACCTTCTGCAGTCAGACTAACATCACGAAGGCACCAAAGATGTCTCAGATCGGCATGAGCCGTTCTGGCTTTCACAATGTCTGAATTAATTTCATCACCTGCGCCACCACCAGTACTTACACACCTACCCAGATACACGAACTTCCCCACTACTTCTATCCGCTTACTACCCAGGGTGAGTTCAGGATCAGGGCCCTGACAGTGTTGTAAAAGTACCTTGCACTTCGAAGGTGCAAAGCACATACTATACCTACGGACACTGATTGCCAACTCATAAAGGGAGGATTGCATGGCTTGGATATTATCACACAGTAAGACAGTATCATCCACATACTCAGCGTCGAGAAGTCTTTCTCCAGACAACAGATCCACACCGCCATTACTCACATCCATCAGAGCTGTTTCCATAACACCATCGATAACAAAGTTAAAAGGGAATGGTGAGATTGATCAATCTTGCCTAACCCCACTACTTGAATGGAACAGTGGAGAAAGGTGGTTGTATGCCCTCACTTTGCTTGAGTTGTTTGTATATACGACTTTTAAGGTGTGAATAAACTTCTCATGTACATCCTTCAATAGACAATCCCAGATAACAGTCCTGTCCAACGAGTTGAAGGCGCCTCTGATGTCGAGAAACATTGATTGTTGGCCTGCAGTAAGTATGACAATGTCCTGAGACTTAGCAGAGGTTGAATATATGATCAATACATCCTCGACGAGAACGAAAACCAGCCTGCTCCTCGCTAGTCAATCTTTCGAAGATTATTCAGGATCCGCGAAGTATGACGGAAGCCAATAATTTGGGCGCAATCGGAAGTAGACCTATACCCGATAGTTGTTGCATTGGTGACATGAATCATTTTCAAAGATGTGTATAACTATCAATTCATTCCACAATTTGGGAATACTCCATTTCTACTTTAGTGAAAGTGACAAGTTTTATAAAGTAAACAGATGTCACTCTAAATTGCGATTTGGTTTAAATTAGATTTATCCTGGTTCAAATAAACTATACCTTGTGTTAACACGTTCAATGTTCAACTTCGGTGTAATGAATTCAATAGATGAACAGATTGCATATTGATGGTAATGTGAACATTTTTCAAAATGTATTCAAGTATTAGATCTTAATAATATCTTGTTTCCAATGGTTACTAGCATTTCACTTATCTGCTTAAGCCTGTTACCGCTTATGAGTCATAGGCCACCAACCAGGAAAGTTATTCGAGTATCTATCACTATTTCCATCTATATCAATATGGATTATTTGAAATAGGAAGATGATTAATGTTCATAAATTAAATGGCACTTGAACAGTCTACAAGATAAAATCGATATTGATTGTTTAAATTGTAACAGATTGAGTTTGGTTTGATATTACGCAATTACGAACGATCTGGATATTCTTTTAATACAGAACATCATCTATGCTAACTAAATAGATCAAATGGTTAAAACCTCAACAAAAAATGCTCGAGACGATTGAATAAAATAAAAAGAAAATCGTTTAAGGAATATCCAATGTTTAAAACACTAGGAGGATTAAATTACTTTTGAGTGAATTCAATTTAATCATTATTAAATTGAATGAATATCAATTTTAAATAATCTACCAAACTAAACAATCTTCACTTGAACATAAAATCACAGTGGGCAAATTAAACATATTTCATATTGAATAAATCAATATACATGGAAACCCAATAAGAGTCAATGAATGAAGTTCACTAGAAACCGACGATTGAATGTTAGAATTGATTTCTTTCGAGTGTTATATATTTTTTTGAAGATTTAGTATCGCTAGGAAAATTACAGTATACAATTATTATAAATAGCCTGTAGGCTATATTTCATCTTCTTTGAATATTTATTCTATATCAATATGATACTAATTTAATGATGATGATATAGAGATGCAACAATTAAACCTGATAGTTAGGCATCATTTCTATAGGGAAGTATGCTATCTATAGTTATCATATCCTTCACTTGTTCATTTGTGATCATAACTAAGCCATGACTGAAAGAGAACTTCGTAATAATTCCCTAAATAATTAATTATAACTTAAGGAAGGTAAAACACCGAACAATAGTATATGCAGAAAATGAAAGCTCACAACTAAGATCATATCAGTGTACAATAATCCAAGTGTCTAATTCAAAAGCTATCCTTTCATAGTATTTGTTCTATTATAGCACGATGGGTATTACCTATCAATTAGCATTCTTTTTTAACAATTGAGAGATCATTAATCAAATCACAAAAAGTTAATTCACAACAATGATGTACATAATTTCATCATTTAAATTACATTTTA